CGTTACAACTCAGGCAAGCCCCCCTCCTGTATTTCAAAACCATTTCTTGAATAGTTTACTCATACATCCTTGTGCAAAATGGGAATCAGGAAATGGAATGGTACAGGAAGACAATACAGCCTTTGTTTAGAAAGTCAGCAGTGCTGGTAATCTTCATAAAAATGTAAAGGTTTACCAAATAGGAATGTATTTCACCTTTAAAACACCTGGCTTTCCCCCCCCCATTTTTTTTTTTTTTTTTTAATTTTAAAAAAAGGACACCTGCAGTAGTAAGGAAACTGAATTTGCAATCACTTGTATTTATAAAAGCCACACACATTCCTCATTTTCTTACATTTGAAGATCAAGGGAATGTCTGTTTCATAATGTAGTAATAATATGCACAGTTTAAAATATTTTCTATTACAAAATACAGTATACAAGAGGGTGAGGCCAAAGTCTATTACTTGAATATACTCCAAAGTGTTAGCACTGAATTATGTAAAAATCACATTACACAGTATGAATAGATGGGAGTTTTTACAACTTAGATGCTCCATTTCATTGGGATCAATGGTATACTGTTTACTATTTTCAAGAGACTTCAGTAAAACTAGTGTATTTCCAAAGAAAGAAGCTTTAAAAGACTTAAACACCGGCATAGGTCATACCAGATTCTAAAACCTGCTGCAATAACTGGGGCTACAGAAAGGATTCAAGAACTAACAAGTACATAATACACATATAAAATGAAATGCTTTATCATATTTTGTCCAACATGGGTAAAAAAAAATCCCACGAGAACTTCGAACTGCGGAACCTCTATGCTCAGAACAGCTCCTCTGTAACTCATCCTCTAAAGCTAAAATGAATCTAAAAGTACGTAGCATGTCGTATCTTAATTCTGGGGGGATGGGATAGGGAACAAAACCAAAAAAACACCTCAACAACTCCCCCCACCTCAAGCCTCTCTGCAATACTAATTGCAAGGCATCACGGTAAACAGTTGCAAGAGACAGTATTTCTGCATAAACACAATGACTATAATTAGCATGCTGCAACCATTATGCTTAAGACCTGTGCAGTCAATTACCAAAATAAAACAAACCCATGTTGCTTCTTTCCTATGTCAAAATACTTATTTTGTAAAGAATTCCATTTTCTTTAAGTATATGCACACTGACCTACAATTTCCTCCTCTAAGATCTTGAAGGTTTGTATTTCAACGCAGAAGCAATTTAGTGTCTTGGGTCTCTGAAGGGTACCAGTCTTAAACACACATGGTTTAAATTTATCTTAATGAGCATTATGTTTGGAAACTTAAGGCTGTATCTCAGTTTACACCAGAACCAAAGACAACTTTAAGAGGCTATGTATAAAATTCTATAAATAAAAATAGGAGCAAAGTCTGTTTAACCTGTACACAGAGAGCAAATGGATAAGAAAAGGAAATCAGTAAGTATTTATATAAAGAATGCCATGTATTTTTACTAGAAACGCAGATGACAAGTATATACAACATTTAAATCTTCAATTATCCACATACAACTAGGAAAACATTTACAAGGGTATTTGGGTATTCAACTAAACAACAAGGTAAAAAAATACTGTTAGAAAAACTAAGCCTCACCAATTTCAAAGGAACAAAACCAGAAAGCACTCACTCCTTAAAAAAAAAAAAAATTCAAGCTAATGCCTAAATTTAGTGAGATATCTTGTTTAACACAAAAACAACAGCTATCCAAGCTTATAAACCACACTGTAAATAAAATCTGAAGAAGTTCTGATAAGCATTTTCCAAAATGCAAACAGAACTAAAATTATTGGCACGGAAAGCAAAATGGGAATGAGGAAGAAAAAAAAGACTGCAGTTTCCAAAATGCTGCTCTTCTGGAGAAATAATTTTGACCTGTCAAAACACATAGTCCAGTAGAAATTATAGAAATTATACCTAAAAAAAAAAAAAAAACCCAAACCAAAAAACCAACCCTCTACTTTTGAAAAACAAGCCTCCAGTAAAACAACTTCTGTTGCTAAAGCACTGCAACGTGTTGGTTTTGTCTTTCAAGATAAAGTAAAGGACACAGCCTTAAGATATTATTTTCAACATTATTTATAAAATCAATGTTTGAAAGAAATAAAGTATTTCCTCACAGACTATTTTGTCCTTTCATCAGCAAAAGGAGATGAAATACAACCGGATGAATATCAAAGACCACAGCAGTAGCCATCATGACATCATCACCAGTCAGTAAGTTATGAAACTGCTATTTCCTGAGCACGTGCAGGAAATTGCCAGTAATGTTTAATAAACCAAAACCTGGTAAAAATTCTACAGAGCCAGTTATACATGATGCGCATTAGGCATATTCCTTTTTGGTGTCTATCAGGGTCTTTGGACTTTTTTCTGTACATTTTTTTTGTTTCATTAAAAAAAAATCATCTAACTAAACTCACAATAACAAGAGTGTATTATATAAATTGCAACACGGTACATTTATCAGTTAAAACTAAATATTCAGAGAACAGGCAGAAATAAGGGGCTTCATACAAGGACCTCATCTCTCAAGTCACAACGATCACTCAGTTTAACTTATGTTATTTCCCCGCTGCTATTCCCTCCCTGCTAGTTCCATTGCCAGCAATGGAAATCTATATGCGAGTGAGAAATTACACTCTGTGTAAAAAGAGTAACAGTCTCCTTAAATCTATTTCAATGTGGTGTAAAATATCAGTTCCTGCATAAAATGCTTGCAAATTTACTTTTTTATTTTAAGATTTAATATATCTATGCAATGGAACATTACTTACCTGCTGCCTCTCCAGTATTAGCTATTCCCCATGTAACAGCTACAGGCAGGTTATTTCTTCCTTAAAACTTATTACACACATCAGTAAACAATGTTTTTAAGTAAAGAAAAAAATATTACAACAGTACTGTTTGCAACCAACACCTATTCACAAAAAGCAGGAAATGAATCATGACTTGTTTGATACAACTTTCAGTTTTACAAAATTGTAAAAGGCAGTTTTCATTTTTAAACAGGATTAAACAAACATGTCAAATAGCTTCTCAGTAGCAAATAGTTCAATAAACACCAGTGATCCCATGCATGAGGAACTGAGGTACACAATTTAAGGGGGGAGGGGGGGGCAAAAAAAGGGAGGGGATAGTCTGAAGCTGTATGTAGCCAAGTCCAACAGCATCAACCTGGCTGCAGGTAGTGTGACTGACTGGTAGGTGACAAAAATATTCGAGCATTTCAGACTTATGCAAAGCTTTTGCAGTTGCACAGGCTACCGGTCCCAACTCAGTAAAGCATAAAAATCACTCACATATGCAAATAAGGTACTTAAAGCATACGTTTACATTTCTTGAAATCTATGGAATGTAAGCACATGCTTTAAATGCTGTTGAAAACCAAATGGATTTAAGTGCTTTCCTGAACAGGGTAACATTTTAGGTCGCTGCAAAATCTTCAAAAAAAAAAAAAAAAGGGTAAAAAAAGAAATCAAGAGTTGTCTAAGAGTTGCCTCTTAAAGCCATCTGAGGTCTTGAAACTTAACTTAAAACATTCAAGTGCAGCTATTTGAGTAAGTGAAAAAAAATCCAAGAATAAATCTGTTACATACCAATTTACAATAGACTAAAAGTGAGCCTTGCCTTTGTACAAGGCTGCCAGAAACTAAGTTTTTGCAACTTATATGAACTTTCTATTAATTTGCATTTCACACAATGAAATTTAAAGCAAATTCTTAAATTTCAAGTCAACTTTCACTGTGAGCTCCAATAATTTGTTTTTAGGTAAATTTACAAAACCTCATCTGACAGATTTCATTAGCGCCACTTTTTGCTAAGACATGTAAATATTGCCCATGACTGAACAAGGACATACAAGTGTACCTTCTCTTTTATATGCACGTATGAATAAACCCCGAAAGACTAAAAAATACCAAACCCATAAATTCTGAAAAATGGAAACATCTGGTTTCTTCTGGCGTATTTCTAATATACAACTATGTACAGTCTGCTACGGCCTTGGGGGTGGAGAAGGAACACACACAAGCACTATTAATATAAAACTGTAAACAACTGCAGGGTTTTGTTTTCTTTTTTAAACCTAACCCTTCCACCCCTTATTATGGACATTTTAAGTTCATATGAACAGTTTAAGTTTATATTAACTGTAGTGTCAACCGGGATCAAGGCTGTATGAGAGAGAAAATTTTCAGCATGCTAAAAATTGCAAACCTGGGACCACCTCTCCTCAAACAGACCAAAGAGCTGCAGTTTTTACAGTTTTATATGTCAATTAGCAAATTCACAAGCCACCTAGATAAACACTGCTAGAAAGCAAAATAGCATTAAAGGTTTTATGTATCCACCTATTTTCATATCAAAATTGAATGTGAGAGAGCAACATTAGTATGTTTAACTCACTGAATGCAAGATTAGGTTGAGGCATATGCAAGAACTATTGCGATGTTTTTAAAGACAGCATCAATGTTCTCATTGTAACATTATCTTTAAATATTGCTGAACACAAGACTTTCCCTGAGGTGTAAACATCAAATAACTTGAACAGCTTTACACATCAGCCCCATTAAACAGTTTATTACAACACTACATCTACTGTAATCAGTGGTGCTGTGTACAGACATTATCATATGAACAGTTTAACATGAACAAACTACTATAAAAACAAGCATTTACTTGACTTTTTCCAATTGCTTGCACATTATAATTGCCATATGTATATAACCAGTAATAAAGTTGCAAAAGCTATAAGGTTTAAATCACACAGGTTTCCCTCAAATAAAACAGTTAAGCAACATAAAAAAGTAAAAGAGCTACTGGTTACCATGTATGCAGATTTGCTTTATTCAGATCTATTCCTGTTCATTTTATCCATGAATCCTTACAGGCTCAGTTCAATCACATGAAGCAAACTGCTGGACAAGCATCTTTCCTTGAAGAATGTATCTTGTCTTGCATGCTGTTCCTCTTCCTTCAGCTGTAATGTGTCAAAATTTGTGATGTAGATTTTGCTAGTCCCCATAATACACAGAAAATTGTTGGCTTATCTATACATACACAAGTCGTGCATCTACTTCACCATAATGTAAGCTAACACAAAATACCCAGAAGCAGTAGCTACTTGTTTGTGCACACAATTTTTTCTAATACAATAGTTAAAAATAAAATTAATGTTGTTGTACAACAAAGTTGAAGGAATATAAATTTCACAGTTGAAGTATTGAGTGATAAAGGAAGAAATAGCTACTGTTCCTGTGACTGATGGAAACATTTATATAGAACATTTCCTGAAGTATGCATTCTGCAAGAGTAAATGAACAAGCACGGAAGGTAATTTTGCCACAACTAGATTTTTACATTTTTACCTGCCCACTTACAGAAGTTTTAAGATGGTTTAACATTTAAGCAATGCACTGATTGTATAATGAAGTGAATGGCTCACAGCTCAGTAACATTTAAAAGTGCACAGAATCAGATACCAGTACTTCAAAATTTTCAGACTAGTGGCAAGCAGGATGGGTTTCACATCTAAAAATACATGCTTGCAGTTTAATCACAAGAACCCACTTTTCAAATAATACAATATAGATTTGCAGGTTTACTTGCCTACGCGCCCTACAAAAAACCCCAAGCCCTACTTCCTATTCTCATCTATTTTGGCAAATTAAGTAACCACATCATTCAGAGTCAATTACTGTGAGAGTTCACAAAATACTTGGGATGGTATAATTCCATACACTGGATTTCAGTTGAATTCCATTACAAAACAATTAGCTATCTTCATTAGTAATTCACAATTTCAACATTCAATAATTTCAAAGACTTTAAATCAAATTGTTCAAAAAAACCAACACACTGAATTGTTCATTTGAAAACCAAGACATTTAGAGGAGCAATTTCATGAACGTGCACCAGTACACAGCTGTCAAATAGTCTTCGACTAGTTTAGTAATTTCAAAGCAGTTAGGAAAACAAAGTACTCAACTTTTGCATGAACAATTGACACATTTCTCCTTCCTTCCCTCAAAGTAACTGTTAATAACAACTTTTAAAAAAACATGTAACCAAGAAGGCTCTATACACTACAGTATGCACATAAACTAATCCAAATCCGAAGCAGTGACTGGATTTTCTTATTTGCAGATTTTGTTCCCAAGTCACGAATGTATCAACCAGTAACTACTTCCGGGGAAGTTCGTCCCCAGAGACCAAAATTTCCATAGGTGTTATGTACTTTTAAAATTAATTAGTAGCAAAGTGACAAAGTGCTGCCTCCACAAGAAGATGTGTTCAGAATTGCGAGCTAAGTTAGCACAAACAGACAGGGGACAATCGCAGGTTTTTACTGGAGAAAGTTAAGTATATGACAGCTGTGAGACTGCGTGTCAGAATTTGCTGCTCTCATCATACAATTACTATGGCAAGAATTATGGATCTTTATCACTTCTATGGCAACAGTTAACAGATCCAAAGCACCATATATGTGACTGATAATACTAGCATTGGAAAGCTTCAGTTCCTGGGAATAATTTGCTAGATTTGTAAGGGTACTTATGGAACTACAGGAACTTTAAAGAATGCATTATAAACTGGATTTAGAATTAATACTTCTCATTATAGGGCTTCTTAAGATGGTCAGCACCACACTGAACCTCAGTTTTAAAAAACACAACCAACTAAAATCCAAAGCAGTGTACATTTTGGTTCCAAGTATTCTGCCACTACATCTTGGCAAAACTGGAAACCTTTGTGGTTCCAAAAGGAAGAATTAAATCTGTATGGATTATACCTTCATGCTCAGCCCTTTTCAGTATTCTACAAGGAAGTAGAATATTGAAGTAAGAAACAACTTTAAAGAAAAAAAAAAAAATTAAATCTCTAGTCAATACTTTTCCATCTGCCTCAAGCTCATAAAAGCTATCTGCCCCAAGCATGTGTTAGGTTTGTACAATTAAACACCATACAGTGATCAGTTTCTCAGCATTTCTACTAATAAAACCCAAATTTCAGACTTGTCTATTAAATAGCTATTTTGTGGTTTAAAAGTTAGGGGTTTATGCCAGCACATTTCACAAGTGAAATCCCAGAACTTAAGTGATCAAACATTTTTGCATTTATGCAAGATGCAACTTGAACATTTTTTTTCCAAAGACAGACTCTTACAACAAAACCCAATTGATTTCTTACATAAAGCATCTTGCAGTAGCAACTCTGATTTTTTTCCTTTTAATTCCAATTATCCAAATAAGCATATAAAAGATTTAAAGAGCTTTTAGAAGTGTGAAAATTCTACAGTATTTTAAAGCTGTATGTGCATACACCCATCATATTTTGTTACGTGGTTTCTGATATTTTCAGAGATTGAATTTCAATCTCCCGACACGTTCACATTTCAGTAAAAAGCATGATATACATTTGTCATTATATCCTAGTAGCTCCTAAGAATTACTTCATGTAATTCTCCTTTATTTTTTCTATACATAAAAAAAACACAAAGCAAAAATCTCACAGAAAGTATCAGCTTGAAAGCCAAAATTTAACTTAACCTACAATCCAGAACATCATAAACCTCCAAATAACTGTGATGCTACAGCTATAACACAGTGAGAAAGAAGGAATTTCAAGCTTGACTCTGTATGTCTTTCTGCATGCAAGCTGAGATACATATGTGATTCTGTTCATCATATACATGTAACAAACAGACTATTTTACCACCATTAGCACCTTCTTCCATTTGTTGCATATTTCCCCCCCCCATTATTATCGTACTTACCTGGTATCTTTATTCAGTCTTAGTGCATAACTAAAGATCAACATCAGAACAATTTCCTGATTTTATAAATAATTTTACATGGGAAGAAAAAGAATGCCCCCGAATTAGTTTAATTCATCATAGGTCTTTCTCCTTACTATTCCGGCCTGTCTATTCACCAAAATTAACTGATGAACAGAGAGGTGTGTTCAGAAAACTCCATCTTTAGTTTACAAATTAAAAAGATGTAAAGTATTGGCAAGTATCTTTCACATTAATATATGAGGAAGACACAAAAAGGTAGATCAAGCTACCACAGGAAAACATAAAAATGAAGATCTCTCACTTTTTTTTTTTTTTTGTGTAAAAAGAAATCTTAGTTCTCAAACCACAATGAGCAAAAAGGAAAAAAACTAGGTTTCTTCATTCTTTGGAGAACACTGCATCAAACCAACATTTTCACTTGCAAGTAATTTATGTTTTAAATGCTGTAAAGCCTTAAAGTTTCTTGGGGAACTTTCACACAGCTCTGATTTGTCAAAACCACTGATTTCACAAACAAAAGAAAAAAGCACTGGATGTGGGGAACACAAAAATATAAGTGTGTCTAAAGACACCTCAGAAGACAACAAAATTACAGCATCACGTTAATGGAAAAAAACAATAAAAGTTATGCAGTTATGCATTTGAAAATAAATAATAGCATAAGATTTTCAGTTCGTTTTTCTTGAGTGGGATGATTTGAAAGTGAGAGAAATCACTGAACATTAAGAAACAAACTACACATTTCTGTAAAGCACCAGAGTAGATAAAATAGACTTATATTGAATCATATGCACAAAGCATTATTTCTCTGATGAACGTTAGATGCAGTAGAATAGTGCCGGCCCCACATATGTGCTTCCTCAAACACACACATATTTTTAAAAAGACAGATCAGATAAATAACGCTCATAATAGCTTAATACTAAGAAGATCTGAAATAATCCTAGATAGGTACATATACCCAGGTCTTGAACACAATTCATTACCACACAAGTCACTTAAAATTCTGTTATTAACTAGAAGCTTATTACTAAAGTAACTCACAAAAATAGGCGCTTTCCTGTTAATTTCCAAGGTTTCTTAAAAGGCTAATTTTGTACTTCACTTGATGTTTAAGTGGTTGCTAATATGCTGTTATAGGACAGTTCCTACTCATACAAGCAAAACTATAACGAATATTACTTAAACTAGCAGTACTATTTCCCCTCCTAGTGACACCAAAAAAATTCCAACCTCATTAATTCTTAGATCACTCCAAAGCTGAAACTACTTCAGAGAGAGCTGAGAGCAGTTTTTGAAGAATCATGAACCTCAGGCTTTAAGTTATTTTGCTTACAGTGGTTTGAGAGCAGAAAAATCATGGAAAGAGCATGAAATATGGAGTACAAAGTCTACATACATATCAACTGTTACAATGTTGTGGTTCTGTCTTTGCAGCTCAGTCCAAATCCAGTTTAAATAGGAAATAATCAATCAACCCAATAACAAAAACATAGAATGAAAAATTTAACATTCAGCAGTTATAGAAATTAGGACAGGTTAAGATTGGGACAATGTATCAGCTAGAAATACATCATTGAGTATCAGTTAAACTGAAAAAAAAAAAATCTGTCTAAAAAAAAAAGTCAGGACTCATGCTGATGAAGTTACATTACTATTCTGTTTGTACACATTAATTTTGCTGTTAATCCTTCTAAATATCATTGTTGGATTCTTAGTCTTATTGAGTAATACAGGTTAGACATTTGTCTAAAATCCACTGTTCTCATATCTAATAGGCTTTCTACAAGCAAAGGCAAGATGTTTCAAGGAAACATTTGGTTTAGTGAAATGGATTATCAATGTACATGAAAGCCTTACTCAAGTGAAGGCACAAAAATCTTGCAAGAATTTAATTTTAAATAACAAAGTGTACAAACAGAAGTGTAAATACCTGCTATGGTACATCTAAATCTTTTAATAGAGTTTTATTATTATAAACACATTTAGTAAGTTATTCCAATTTAAGCGATCTCTATAAATGTAATACAGTACAAACTGAATTTCACTGTATACAAAAATGTTCACAATGGACCTTTAAAATCCTTCTAAACTAGATGTGGAACACTTTTTAAAAAATGCCAGTACAGTATCACAGTTATGATTATAGGTACACAAGAAGAAGTATAGGTGCCATTCATAGGGTGCAGGCACAGAAGCAACTTCATGTTATCTGGCAAAACACAGTAATGTGGGAAGTAACTCTTTTCATCAGTGCTGATATATAAGTGACTGAGACTGTTAAATCCGTTTATGAGTATTAACCAATGTAAAGAACAAAACGAAAAAAATGTATGGCAACATACATCTTCGTGAAAATGAAACATACAAACCAGGAGATAACTGTATTTCTTTTATATGTGTGTGTGTATAAATAGATAAAAACAAAACTACAATAAAGCCCTTCTTCATTAAGACAGCAACAAGACAAAAAGTTTACAACTTAACTTTAAAAAATATCAAATGCTTGCATATACGTGCAGAATACTAAATTTGCCCTTTAAATCAAGTTCTTAGGACCTACTTTCTTTGCACAAGGGAATCTTACCTATGCAACCCCTCTGAAAGAAAAGTGCCAGCACACAGAGTTGAAAGATGTTACACATATAAATCCCACCTGAACCTTAGATCGAAACCAGTGTTTAATTTTTAAATTGTGCTTCGGAAATTATAAAATGCAACCTAATGCTATTTGATATGTTTTCCTGGGGTGACAAGGTAAGGAATCTGTACTTGTCACAGAAACTCCATATCTACATGCACATTAAATACACAAAAAAATAAAACTAGATTAACAAAATATGCCAAGTGTAAAAAAAAAAAAAAAAAAAAAAAAACCAAAACACAAAACTATCTTAAATTCCAGGTCATAAACAATTTTTAGTGTGGATTGCTCATCTCCACCAGAAGGAAAGCACTCTGTAAATGCATCCATTACTCAGCTCAATCGTTACCTCCTATTAATAACAACTATTTGCAAATATCACCAATACTCATTTATCATAAAAGGTAAAAATCCAGTTCAACAAAAACACCTATGTTTACTTTTGTTAAATCTGTATTTTTATATTCTGATAAAATTATATATTTTAATTATCTTAATTTTAAAATTAAGAACCACAGTTGCTATTTTTATGCAATTCCCAAAATATTTCTACCAATCCTTTTTTTATGACAAAAAGTGGCATTAACAGATATACACTGCCAACTTTATTTCTGCTGCCATGTTTCACCTTCCTATTTAAGCCTTTGGCTCCCCTTCTCTAGGTTGGTTACAGCTTTGTGCGTCCTCTGTTAGTGTATGAATCCAAGACAACAACCCACTTAATACTTAATAGACTAGAGTATTTAGTATCAGAATTTGTTCTCTCCCAAAGAAGTCAGTGACACAAAAGCCTGAATGGAAAACTGACATTTAACTAATACAGAATTATATTTTTACGGCATTTTATCCAATTTCTGAAAAGTTTTGCTCAATTTAACTTCAGCAAATGGACTTCCATGAGTAAATACCACGTGAAAAGCTGGAAACTAAATCTGGAAGATAAATGTAGGAAATGGAAGTTGGGCAGATTAAGTCTGCAAGCTTCAATTTTAATGTAGATGTAGTGGGAAGTTATTCTAAAAGAAAGAAAAGACCACTGCAGAGAAACTAATAGGTAGGGGTTTTTTCCAACTGTCAAATATAAGGAATAGCTTGAATTCCCAGTCCTCAAAACAGTACATTATATAATGCGATGAACATTTCTACATATTTTAAAGCTCTCAGCAGTACACTGAAAAAACCCATCATTTAGCATGCTACTCTGTAGCTATCTAGAGAACTGATGCATGCAAGACTGCAGATATATGAAAAAAAGAACACATTAGTTTGTGAACAACTATAAGCGAAACAATCCTTGTGTCATACGTTTGTTTACTAGTCTTCAGAAAATGACTTCACTATCAGAGGGGGAGGGAATGAAAAAATCAGGGTGATGGGGAACAACTAATCATAAATCTTATTGAAGATAACGCCTGAGTTTAGCTAGAAGGCAGAAGACACTGACAGGTCACATTTCATAAAACAGAGAGTGAAGTCTGGCCATATTTCCTGAATTTGAGTAAAACTTAGCAAAAACCACCCAAAAAAACACACTGCTGTACTTGTGCAAGGACAGCAACTATATACACGTCTTCCCTAAATTGAAATAATCCACACATGACATGTGAATGGCTAAATGCTGCAGTCCTTACACAAGTAGATCTTAAAATAAAATAAAAAAAAGAAAAAACACAAGTACTTTAAACTACAAAAAAGAAATAAAACCATAAATTTCATATAATATTCTAAGATTACAAAGAGAGCAGACTTTTTCTGGCTTACTGATTTTTTAAGAATTGGTTTAATTACATTTCATAAAAACTGCAAACATTAATATCACCTAAAATTAAAAAGACAGCATGCAAACTGCAGAAGATAAATCACACAAATACTCCCTCCCTCCCAAGACCAGTTACCTGTTGTTACTTACCTAGGTTCATGTCAGGTGCTGCAAGAAGAAAGTGATTCAGTACATACTGCAGGACCGTTTAAATGCAGACATTAAATGGTGTAAATAATCCCAAACCTAGAGTAGTTACTTTTAGGAAGTCAGTAAAGCTCAAGAACATGAACGCTCACCTTCTTTAACGATGACGATATTCCCTCTCTCTGTCTCGTTCTCTGTCGCGGTCTCTGTCACGATCACGATGCCTCTCTCTTTCACGGCTTCTTTCCCGGTAATAGTCATCATGACGATCTCTACTACGTGATTTGTGGCGCCTACTTTTTTCTCGTGACCTACTGTGGTCCCTCTCTCTGGATCGCTCACGTCTTCTAAAAGAAATTACTTCATTAAATTTTTCTTCAAAATACAAGGCATTTGCATGCCAATTTTCTGCTCTGAGTATGAATATGATCAAAAAAGGATGAGAAAAGCATCTGTTCGCTGTGATGCAGATTATGTTTTTGTATATAACCTGAAACAGCTGGTATAAAAGGTGGTGGCCAAGAACTCCGTTACAGATAGTAAGGTCCATCCACTTTCTAATCTATCAAGGAAAAGTCAGAAAGTACACGCTCAGAATGGAGGACAAGGTGGCTGAAATCATTTGGGAGAATGCACCATACCTCAAACGATTGCTACCACATGGTTGCTGATCTGCGTACTGACTACACTACTTCTATAGTGTCCAAATGAACTAGAGGTTGTGCTTGTCCTAACACAACGTTCTGAAAGAAATACCAATCTCTTATTTGTACTAGTAGAAGAGTCCATGAATTTCAAATCTACCTACCCCCTACGGACAACAGCCAAAATCATTCCGCCCAACTTCTTTCCCCCTCCCGCTCAAGTGTATTTCTACTGTGAGTGACAAGTGTGGAGAACATTACTTTTAAGCAAAATGAAAACTGGCATCAAGTATCCTCCATCTTAATTTTCAATAGCAAATTCTAATAAAAATTATGCACTTAATTGATAAACGATAATTCTATTTTGAAATTTACACATTACAAGAGTACCACATAGGAAAGGATACTAAATAAAACTAAGAGTTAAATTTAATTTAGTCAGCCTAATTTTGAAAATATGGGTTAATTAAAAGGCAGCCAAGTTCGGGAACCCCCCATTTGGTTCTTTCACACATTTCGTGTGCAACTCAGCAAAATGCTAAGCTGCTTAGATGACGCAGTTCCTTCTCTGTGAACTAGTCCTACGTTACACCGGGCAGATGGAAGAGGAAAGTTTTACCTGGATCCAGAACCATAAGACTTGGACTCAATTCCATGAAGGCAGTCCTGAAGAGAGCTAATAAGTACTTTACAGCGATCATCTGCAGATACTTTGGACTGTTTAATTAAGGAAATTGCAGTTACCAAGGTCTCTATAGCACTTCCATAGTCCCCTGAAAATGATATAAGAACATGATCAGAAAATTATGCAAATTAAAACAAAGATTTTTATCTGCAATAGTATTACCATTTTGAGTATCCTCTCTTCAACAGCCATCCAGATCACTTACTGTTGAACCAAACATTAAAATATTGTCAAGATCAGTACTCAGAAGGCATTCTCAGAAACTCATGGGAGCACAAGTACAAAATCAGTCATAGGTTGGTATCTAAATTCAGCCTCCTATTATCAGAATGTGGCTTCAGAGCTGTCAGCTTCCTAATAGAAAAACTATAAACTCTTTCCGGTTGGGTAGAAGAGCAAAGACATTAATTAAGTTTTACTAACCAGCACTGGCATCCGATACAGCTCTTGAAATGGCACTGCTTGAGATCGCTCTATTTCTATTCATGATTTCTTCAAATTCTGCTTCACTTAGAGGTGTCCTTGCAGCATCCATTTCTCTGCAAGCAATAAAACTAGTATTTAAAAGGTTAAGAAAAACTTCAGAAGATATCATTGCAGTTTTAACAATCCAAGTTTGCAACTTTAAGCAAAGTGACAAACAGAAAAGAAAGCAGGATCTGGGTTTGGGTTTGGTTTTTGTTAAGGACCATGTTACAGTATAAAATCCTGAAAGCTAAAGGAAAATTAAAAAAAAATAAAAAAACCCCAAACAAACAAACAAACAAAAAAACAAAAACAAAAGAAAAAAGGTGAAAAACAATTAAGACATTGCTGTATAAATAAGACTTATTCTTGTTCATCCCATCTATTCTGAAGATTCAGCAGCACTTAATATTGTGCTTTACAAATACTTATAATTTTTGTAAAATCCTCCAAGGTATCTAAGTAGATATTATCCCAATTGAATGGATGTGGAAATACATGTACATAGGCAATGCGACTTTGAGCAAAATTAGAGATCATTTTTATAACAATACTGGAATTAGAACTATATGATCCTGTTTCCCAGATCTTAACTAAGACCAGAATACTGTAACTTATGAAAAGCAAATACAATCTATCATCTTTAAAACACTCAATTTTCTGAATGATACTTCAACATTTTACAGCTAATTTTGTTTTGGTTTGGTTTTGTTTTTGTTTTTTTTTATTTATTTCTGGTCAAGTTCAAGGTGCTCCAATTTGATCTCCAAACCAGTCACAGTAAGGAGGAAGGAATAAAGCAGAATCCTTGTACTCGTACTTTTTTCCTTTAATTATTAGCTACCTATATAGGGTTTCCAAAGTAACAGAAGTTAACCTACACAAAAATTTTCTCAGAGTTTTGCAGTGTCCTATTAGCCAGTCTCTGTATCATATAGAAAATTTGGAGAAATGTGTTAAGAGACAAATGCTGAGACTGTTAAACTGGCCCACTGCTTGATAGTTCTAGAACAGTGTTAGTTGTTCTGGTAGAAGGAAAATGCAGAATAATAAGCAATGCTATCCTCTTAATTGCAAGAAGTGGAACAAGATCCTATAGCCAGTTTAGCATAAGAGGAAATGTCTAAAAATTCATACCTCCCTGAGTTTTGAGTATTATTTTTCGTGTGCCTCCCATAGAATGGAATATGTAATTTTTCTCTTATGGACATGTTATTTCCAGTGAAACGCCTATGATATATAATTAATGACAATTTAAATAGTTATGGATGATAGTTTTAACATTATTAATGAAAATACTGGACAGTAAGTTATACTGTCCTATTCCCACTCCTTCCCTCCCCAGACATTCTATAAACTGCAGACAACCTCGATTTTGACCATCAAAAAACAACCAACACCGTATTGTTTTATTGTATTTCAGGCAATTAAGCCAATTGCTTGAATTTCTATAGTTTCTGTATGAACACAGTACGTATAGATGCGTGGGTTTTTTTTAAATTCGTGATAACAGACGAATCAAAGTGTCTTTGCAGAAAACATTTTAAGCAGTAAAATCACAACTGAAAAATCCAAATGTAATGTAAAAAGTGTCTTTCTTACAATTTATCCCAAAATTTTCTGACAAATGCAAATATGGTAAAAAAAATTAAAAAAAAAAAAAAAAATCAAGAAACAGCAGCAAGACAGAGATGCTTGAAAGCACAGATGAAAAAGATGTTTCAAACAAGATGTGAAAAACTTGACAAGTCTAGTCAGAGAGACTGAAAAACTCTGTCCCAGATAGGAATAACCATAGGAAAAACCTCTGCTACAAACAAAGCAAGATTGCACCAAATGAGCAGAAGCATCTTGACAGGAAAGACAGATAAAAATCTTGCAATAACTTCACACCTGGCTTTTGAGACAGGCTAACTTTGAATTGACTACTGAAGAAAAAAGGGACAAGCAGAGCTGCTGAAAGATGAAAATGCTATGAGCTTGGTATGGCACTGTACTCAACATACACACATATTCAAAAGGGAGAGCTCCAGAATGTTCTAAAAAGACAGCTTGCAAAGCACAATGATAAAGGCACAAGTCAGAATTTCAAGTTAAGACAGAAGCACAACCAGAAGCTGCTGCATAAGAAGTGATATATAAGTCTGCATGTAGAACACATGGAATGATGACATTGCCAAATACAAACAGCAAAGACAAACAGCTCAGAGCTGAAAAGGGAAAGGCAGATTATTGGTGTTGCATTTCAGGATTTTCTTACTGCTGCAAACGTGTCTGAGAGATACTTCACTGAGAGAAGTGAAAAGGGGCAAATTAGAAGACTGTTGGGATCCCTTCCAGCCCTATTTTTCATTATTTCTAACATTTGCTTTAAAAAGGAAAATCAAATGCTTCCTACAAGAGGAGTAAAATCTGCTACCAAGCACATTACACGAAAAGCACTCACCTTCCAGGGGGCCCATAGTCACCTCTGTCATATGGTGGAGGTCGGCCATACGGATCTGTCGGAGGCGGGCCACGGCTGTCTGAAGTAGGTATGCCACTATTGGCAGGTGGGGGGAAGAAAGCTGGATTCACATGTGGTGCAGGTGGTGGAGCACCTGGGGGTGGCCCAGGGAGATGTGGAGGAGGAGCAAGAGTCAGGGGTGGCCCAAGAGGGCCAGGTGGACGAGGGGGAAATGGACCCGGAGGTGGAGGTGGACCCTGCTGAGGTGGTGGGGGACCTGGTGGTGGCCCGTAGCCTGGAACTGGCGGTGGAGGGCCAGGAGGAAGTGGCCCAAGTGGAGGCTGACCAAAAGGCTGTCCTGGGAACAGAACTGGCGGTGGTGGACGGTCACCACGATTAGGAGGTCCAGCTAATGGAGGTGGGAGGACCTGACCAGGAGGTGGAGGACCTGGCGGTCCTGGTGGGCCAGGAGGACCTAAAGGTGGACGTGGGGGAGTTTGTCCAGCTGAAATAAAAAGACAAAAAAAAAAAAAAAGAAAAGAAAATATAGTTAATAAATACAAAGAAATAAAAGGCTTAGCAAAATAATTAAAATTCTTGCCTTTAAAAAAATATTCTTAAAAGCAATCAAAAAAACAAAACCAAACCTCACTGAACAATTTGCAACTTATACAAGACATGCACAGTCCCGCTTTGGGTCCAATAGCTTAGAAAATTTCTAACAGTTGCTTGACTATAAATACCTAAAGAGAACGACATCAACTTGAAAACCAATAATCCACCCCCCAGTCACTTAATAACCTACTGTTCTTACCAAAACACCCAACAGCTCACAAAAACTAGAAGACATTGCATCCTACTTACACCTGCAGCTACTCTTTCATATTGGGCATAAGACATACCATGTTAAAAATATGGGGAAAGCTATATTGAAAAAGGTAAAGTAAATAGAGTATCCAAACCTACTTTCAGATCCTCATTAGTGATTTTTCAATTTCACCACGTCCCTTGACTGTTAGTACACAATCTACTACTAAATTCCATTTATTAAAAATACTTAAGCTGAAATAAGAACTTCACTTCAACGCAAGCCTGTCTGGTTAGCGGAGATTTCTCCCATATCAGCTACCTAACTAAACATGAACACCTCTTCAAATCTGTGGTACTGTAAGTGCCAACTAACTGACCTGTCAGTGGGCATGAATTAAAGCTGAATTTCTGATGATATGCAAACTTTTAATGCAGTATGGAACAGTTATTTTACACACTGCAACACAGGCATTCTCACCCCATATAGCAAATCAGAAAATCTGAACTACACTGCACTAAAGGCAAGTATACTTGCTAATGTGATCTATCTTAATTTTTTCATAGTTTAAAAAAATGTACATTGACACCTTATAAAGAATGTCTCTAAAAAATGTTATTATATTGCAATGAAACTTAAGAAGTACAACTCCCTGATTAACTATCAACAAAGAAATAGTCGAATCCTACAATCCAGCTGTGAACACTGATTACAGCACATGACTGGAACTGCCTTGATCTTTGTAATGCCCTGAATAAGCATGCTGCATTAATACAAGAAAACACAAACGAAACGGAAACTCCACATATGAATTATTTTACCTGGGAAAGGTGGTGGTGGCCCTCCTGGCCCTGCTGGGCCAGGAAATCTGTCTCCACCTGGAATGGCACCTGGAAAACGACCTCGCCCTCTATTACTAGGTGGAAATGCTGCTCGTGAGCTTCCTCCTGGGGGACCAGCTTTACCTTCCCCAGACATCTGGCCAGACTGCGTGGCTGCAACGAAAAAACAAAAAAGTGTAATTACATAAGACAAACAGGTTAAAGCTTTTCAATTCTTGATGCAGTGCTAAAGCATGACCTTATGAGCACCAACTTGTTCCTCAGTACCCAAATCTATCTGGGGAGGAAAAATTGCTTTACTGAAATATGGCAGTGTTCCAGTACCCCCTTACTAATGGAAAAGCATCTGGGGAGACTGTCAGTCCTTCCTTTAATGCAGCCCAAGGCCACAAAAGGAATACGTTTTACACATTAGAACTGGAAAGCACAAGACAAGTGGCTGGAAGAAAGCACAACACAAAATCTCCCTACCCCATTTTATCATAAGCACAACTTACCCAGATAGCAGAATTTAGTTCAGTTTGTCTACAAATGTTAAATTTCTAAATGCTGTTGTACTTTAAAAAAAAAAAAAAAAATCCACAAGAAAATGAGAAAGCTTCTCCAACTGTAAGACAAGAGTTTCACAAAGCTGCAACCTTCTTTCAGTGAATGCTCTCCCTCGTCAAAACAACAGATCTTCAGTATAGTAAGTGATTTTTTAAAAATTTTATTTTTAGGAGGACCATCTTTAAACAAAGCTGCAACTTCATTCACCTTCCTAGAAGTAGTTTATACTTATTTTAAACCATGCAGAAATTATGAGAAGCTGAGAGAAAAGCTACAGTACTACTTTTGGAATAAAGTTCTGTTTTCCCAAGACAGTACATGTGAAAGTCTTACTTTTCCTTGACTGCATTTCAAACTGACTCAGAAATTGTTTATTACATGGAGTTACAACAGGATTCTGCCCATGCAATTCCCTTTTTGGTAATAAATCCATCAACTTTTTGGAGGATGCTTCTGATCCCACACCCACAAGGGCAAATCTGAAAGAAAGAAAGAAAAAAAGAAAGAAAGAAGAAAATTTACACCACAGTTTTTCCATTTCCTGAATATCGGGATGCCTCATGAAAAAGATTATACACAATAAGCAAAAAAATACTTGAAAACTACATACAGAAACTGTCTCACAGGTCTTAGTCCAGTTTTCAGAAGAGATATGTCCTATAATGAGGTACTGTAAGAACCACTACAAGTGCAAGTACAAAATGAATCAGATGATATCACAAAGGCAGTTTTCTGTTGAGTATCAGTACACTACACGTGAATTCATATGGTCAGTTATTATTAAGCATTCCGTGTATTCTCAATACTACTAAGGAGAGAGAAAGGCACATTCATGCAAGGAAGATTAGGTTGCCCATGAAAAATGGGCTCAAGCTCTCACATTCAACAGTTAATGGAAAATAAAGCATGTAAAAAAAGATTTAATAAAGGAGACTGGGGAAACAGTATTTACACTATGAAGAACAACAAATGCCACCACCACACTAACTGAAACCTAGGAGCAGTCTTAATGAAAATAGCCAGCAAGATTTAACTCACAAAATAATGACACGTAATACTGTCATAAAAATTTATCCCTGAAATTTAAGTCATTAGCATGAAATTATACACCAAATCATTGTTGGGTATCAATAAACAAAGATTATACGTTCAAAAAAGACAGTTATAAAAAACTGAGAACTCTTTCCCCATTTCCACTCTCCCAAACTTCAGTCCATTTACAGAAAAAACAAATGACAAGTTCTTACCCTTTAGACTGGCCATTAGCACGGTTTTCAAAAAATTTTATCTCCAAAATATCATTTACCCCCAGTGAATGAACCGCTTCAGTTAAGTCTTCATCTGTTGTCCACTGAAAAACATTTTTAATATTAAACTATGAAAGCTTATCTGGAACACCATGAAAAGGGCAACTATGTTTTCCATGGGATTTTGGTTGGGGTTTGGTAGGGGTTTTTTGTTGCTGTTGTGGGTTTTTTTTTTTGGTGTGATATTGGTCAAGACAAATACTTTATTCAGGCTGTCAATATTTTCTGACTTTTGGAGAACAATCATTTTATAATTCTCAAAAAAATAATTTAAAAAATGTACACACTTCCCCATATGCTACATTGCACCAACTCTTCCACACAGTATTCTAGATACAATATGCAAAAAAAAATATTTGTATTTGACTAACTTGTTTTCTGAGAGTTCGAGGATTCAACTGAACTATTTCAGTAACTGCTACTTTTTCCACACCAGATTCATTTTTTTCTCCCACTGATTCTGTTATTTTCACACAAAAGTCAACTTTAAAAGCCATATTAACTAAATGCTCTTTATGAGAGCTTTGACTAAGGAGAGTTTAGTGAACTAAATATTATTTGCACAAAACCAGCAGGATTTACAGACAAAAGAAGGGAAACTAGCACAGAAACTATGGTTAGAAACAACTGCCTCCACTTAACCAAACCTACTTGCTGTAACTTCCTATTAATTACTATGTAACATTTAACGATTTTGCTCATATCTGAAGATACAAAAATAAACCAATACTCATGATTTTCTTACTCCTTCTTTAACTCCATCACCTCTTTAAATTCCATATGGGAAGTGCAAAGAAGGCTTTTGAGATCCTGAACTACTTATCTGATCTCTCTCAAATCAAAGCTTTTAAAAAATTACTTTCCTGAGAGCTAAATGCAAAGAAAACACACACAGCAGTAATGCTGAAGTAAATAAATGCACTTTTTGAAGTGGATAACTTCATTTATGAAGCCAAATAATGAGTAACAGGCACAAATTGCTCCACATTGGGCCACCTGCTTTGAAAATTGTGACATTTGACATGGATGAGTTCAGCTAATTCATGCGCATTTTACCAATGCCATTCATGTATTTTAGAATGGTACAACTGTTAAGTCAGCTGCTCCTTCACTTACCTATTAGCTCCTGAAATTAGGATACTGTAATAAGTAACAAACACACACCTAAGCATCCATACAGCATTCTTTTCTGAGTTTAGCACTAGTAAGAAATTCATCAGATAGGAAAAAGCCTTGAATGAGAACTTTTCATGCATGGACTTGGAAGAATTTTATTTCAGGTAAACAGATAGAAACTTTAGTTAATTCAGCTACTGACCAGCTCCTGCACTTTGTTTGCTTAATTGCAATTGATTTTAAGATGCTTTAATGCTAACAAAAGTAATTGTTTTAAGGGCAACTGCAATTCAGTGGCTTATCCCAAACCCCTTACTCCTAGGATGGCAGAAATAAGCCTCAAGGCAATACCCGAAAACTGATTTGATGCAAGAGTCACAGCCCTGAAAAAAGGTGAAAAGTAATTTCAAGAAAATTCCAGAGAACCTTCCAGTTCCTTTTTAAACTAAAAACTTCAGCAAGGGTTTACTTAAATAAATTCATTCAATAGTCTTAAAGTATATGCAGGCATAACGTATTTTATAGTTTAAGCTTGTTCTCCTCTTTCGTTCAATTCTCTGAAAACCTTAAGAAGATGGCAGCACAAATATCCCTTCATAACACTTAAAACACAAGAGGAAACTTTATAGTTCATATTTAGTGAAGATTTCCTCAGTTTTTCAGACATCAAGACAGCTGCAGACAGGCTTACTAGATTTTCAGGTAAAAGTTTTAAAAAAAAAAACCCTAACCAACCAAAAAAAACCAACCAAAAAACCCAAACGCACTTGCTTCACTGTACTCTTAATATTTCATATAAAACAATTTTAAAGACAAAAATAATTACAAATAAATATGTTCATAATTTTAAAATTCCTGGCTACACCTAAACAGTAGTAAGATACTTACCCAAGTAAGATTTCCAATGTACAAGGCAATTCTTTTTCCAGTATATGTATAGACAACATTTGGTGCAGCTCCTTTACCTACATCATCCCCAACAGATGGTGGGAGAGAATCCATGTAATCACGATCTTCTGGGGCATCTCCATTATTTGCAGATGGAGAAATTACATCATCGTATAAATCAATTTGATCATGTCCACCATATTCAGCTTCCTAAAATACAAAAGACACATTGATTGTATTTAATATTAAACACACTTAAAACTTACTTGAAACAAAACGCTGGGATAGCTGCCACGTTCCACAGCCACGGTAAATCCGATCCAGCACCTATACAACATCCCTGCTGAAAAGCTAACCCCCAGTTTCATCCACATTAAAGTATATGAAATACTTAAGACTCCTATTATATTCTAAACTGACAAGAAAAAATAAAATCCACAAAAAATACCTCTGCTCACTGTTTTGCAATGCTTTTGCCCTTGTAATATAAACAGAAATCCAAAAATCCAACAAGTCCTTCTCCCAGAATAAGAGACATTATCAAGGTGCAAAATGAAAGGCTAACATCCATTCTCAAGAAAATCTTTTTTCGATCAAAACATTTGGTAGAGTGAACAGATTGAGTCTCAAGAGCCCTACTGACAAATGCAACATTCTACCTTTCAGACTTCCACTGCATTCCTAACTTGATTTTTATCTCCTTATTCAGAAAGGGTCAGAATTCTTTTGTGTTTCATTAAGTTTAATAAACCCAAGGGTTTGTATTTATTAAACATTTATTTATTCACGGGCTACAGAGGGATTGTTCTACACCATCAAGGCTGCCCCTGGAACATTTTGGTTCAGAAAAGCACTGTGAGGTTTTGGAGTGAATCACTCCCTCCTCCTTTGGGTTGGTACAGGTTACAGCACCATTCTGGCCAAGTGAACTAGATTCCTTTCAGAGGGAATGGAAACAAGAGTTTCTTTCCAAAAACTCTGCTTCACTTGCTCAACAAATGCATCCTGCCGGCTAAGTGGGAACAGACAGGTAAAGATCAATCAATAGTCCTTCAGACAGTTTTGAATCGTAAGTGTGGCAGGAATATTTGGTCCAAAAGGCCAGACTAAATTGAGTCTGAAGTAGACCATGCAAACAGTGTGTTAGGTAGACGGAGGGGCCTGAAGACCAACTGCCTCAATCTGCTGATGTGCTACTACCAAGTCGTATTACTTTTTATTACACAGCTGTACTGTCACCAAAGACAGACAATTAAAAGATGGATAAAACGTGTTGACTGTAAATTATAATAATCTTTACCAAAACATGTATAAGACTTTTTTTAAAAACAGTGTAACATTAACCTGTGGGATCGCTTACTTCCAAATATGAATGAAGCCAAGTATTATATATTTGCATTAAGGAACTATTTTTAAAACAAATATTTCTTTTGATACTTGCCATTTTTCATCTTATATATCACCACTCATCATATTCAATGGCAATAAACTCCACAATGGGATGCTGATATCCTTTTTTACTATCCTAGCAATCACTTACGATCGAACAGCCCAATCTGTGAGAAAGAGAGGCACCACCTAAATGTCTACTGACAGGAAACCAGTAACTTCTCAGCAAGTAACAGTGGTCTGACAAAGCTTAGGAGAGTCTAGCAGTGTTTAATGTTAACCTACAGCTTGTATATCGACTTTCACACATTGCTTTGCCACATGCAAAAGCTGGACTTCAAAAGCCTGCAGAGTGTTCCTGGTCTCTTCCATCCTGATCCAGAACAGAAACAACCTCACCAGGTTCTGGTATCAGAGATATTTCAGCATCCACTGTCTTGTGAATCTGTATCTAGAAACCCATGCAGACATCCTACATAGAATAGTTCAAGGTACCGGGATGTGGTGACTAGAGAAGATCAAGCTGGATTCCTCAGAAAAGAGGCTGCAAAGCTAGCAATCTTGATAGAAAACCCAACATAATCCACAATCACCATCAGATGCTCTGCTAACTTGAAATTATGAAAACACTATAAACTGCTGCAGATACAGTGAGGGTATAATTAAAATTGAAGAAATAAGTAAACAAAACAGATAAGCTAAGTTTTGGCATTGCCAGTCAAGTAGATTTGATCCTCAGTAAACTGCACTGTCCCAGTACTCCCTAAACTTCAACAGAAAAAGTATCTCTCAAGATAAGTTAATAATTATTAAGGGTTTCGTATTTTCACCTAGTCTGTCTAGTTCTCCGTTTCAGTTGATTCCTCCTGTCATCATAAATAATGCAAGTATGTTCAAAGAACTGCCTAGGACAGGCCTAAACATGACATCTTACAGCAAGACTAAGGATGATGTCACAAGGCAATAAAGGAAATTCTCTGCTAAACGTGCAGTAATTCTAGTCATTTGTGTGCATGGGTGATGAATTCACCAAAGTAGAATTCAGTCTTCGTAGAGAGATCCAAGCAGGCAGCTACCAGTCCATGAACCCATCTCTCAGAGAAGGCTGAGGCCAGCATTGCCAAAATACCAGAGTAGGCCGCAGCAGGCCACAGCTCCACTGCACTCCTCTAGTGGCAAGAAACAGATCAAGTTTCTATCACATAGGCTTTGAGGTCATCAACAAAGGAGGAGGAGAATTATCAGGGCAGCACAGTCTGCATGTAATTTTGGGGGGCCCCAAAGTGCCTGACAGCATCAAGTGCCTTAATTTAAATCAATAAGGAGACTACAGAAAACCTAATGTTGTTCACCATCTCTTCTCATATCATGCTGGTTTTGCAGCCAGCATAGAATTCATTCAGTTATCAGTCTGTCAACAAGGTGTGTGGTTAGATGATTAAGAATGATCCGAGCCAGCAACTGTGAGTGTAGATGGAAGAGAGGTGTCTCCATGGCTGTTGCACAACATCCAACAACCCTGCCTCCTTTATATGTGTAGCATGGAAATTTACCTAAACACACCCTTTCTTTCCTAGACGCAGAAGAGTAAGAAAAAAAAACAATACAGGAAGTTTTACTTCTCTAGACTTAACTATTTCAACAAATGCTCTGCCTGTACCAGGAATTAGTTTTGACCTCTTCCAATTTCCTTAGTTAAAAGACAACCATCAAGCATGAAGATAAATTATTTCTGCTGAATTATAGTAATTCACAATCTTACAGATCAACATGCTAAGAAACAAAGTCAGCATTGTTATTCTGTTCCCCTCTACAACTGACTCAGGCGTAGCAATACATTTCCAAAGCCCATGTTTTAACTAGACCACAGTCTGATATACTAGATCGTTTGCTCTGGAAAATCAGGACTGAAATTCCACATTCTGTGTTATTAAGTGGGACTGGCTGAATAAAAAGAGTACTGAAAAAACATACTCTCAAACATTTATGCCAGACTAGCTGTTACACTTGCAGTTATTCAGCCCTTCCTCAGTATTTTGTATTTTAATTACTGCTTGCAGTGTTTTGCAACATTCAAATAGGAAAGCCATAAACACATGGAACATCACCGTCACATCCAGAAGGGACAAATTAAGAGTGTTATTTCTTTTTGGAACTTAGCAGCCATACCTCTGAGTTAGAGAACTGGTCATCCCCTTTACAAATGCTGTTTTGGAAATGACTTTTTGTTGGTTTTGTTGTTGTTTTTGTTTGATCGTTTTTTTTTGGGGTGGTTTTTTTTTTTTTTAATTAAATTTCTTTAAGCATGTCTGAGACTTGCTTTTTCCACTCAACTCTGTTCAATTTAAGAGGTAAACACTAAATTACGCCTCCAAAAACTCATTAAAAAATAAATTGGTGACATAAAAATTTTCATGGCAAACATTTGCTATTGTTTCTGAAAAAAAACATTGTGAAGCAAAAACAAATTATCCAGCTTCTCCCTTATCACGTTTTCATTCAAGTTACAGAGTATGTGGTCAAAAACTCTAAATACACATTAGCATCCTCACTTTAAAAAAAATTGTAGGTCCTGAAGAACAAGTTAAAGAGAAAAGCAAAAATCTTTCTGGTTTCGATTAGCTGCCTGAACACAGACAGGAACCTTAACAAAAGAGCAGGCATTTGATGTTTCTAAAATAGTCCACTGCCTGTGGCAGAAACACCCACCAAGGTGGACAAGTTTGTTAGACTATAAGATTCATGTTTACTCTACAAACCCAAATGCTCTCAGCACTACAACTGGCACACCACTAAAATTTAACCAAACTGATTCCTTGTCAAACTGAGGAACTAAAAATTCACAAGGAGTCAAAAGTATAAATTAAATGTTGGTAGTATCACTTTGCATTAGAGCAAAGCTAAGAGGCACCAGATGAGATGGTCTCAAGTTTTCTGTGGTTTGATATCTGCAAATATACAAACGTTCTCTTTCCCAGACCCCTTCCAGAAGATAAACAGAACTGATGAAATACATATGCAATTAGGCATTGCACATACACGTTATAACAAACGCTAGTCTGCCAGCTTATGTTTTTCATGACCAGGACAGCTCTGCCCTTCCAAGTAGAAATTTATACCAATGTGTCCATCCCTTCCCATAACAAGACAACTGTCCTCCTGATAAAAGGCTGTTAATAACCTGTTTTATGTGGCCACTAAATGCTAGCTTTTATTATTTATTACACAAAAAAATATTTTTCTCTCTTGTGTTATAGACAAGATGTCAAGAGAGTAACTAACATGTTCCTAAGAATCTGTAGCCACAAAAGTTCCCAGATAATTAGACTCTTAGCTGCTTATTCTACCTAAATCACTTTTATTATCCAGTTACAAAATACAAAGTCAAAACTCTTTCATTTCTAATTTGTTAGCATTTAAATATCAAACTAGAACACTACAGGCATGTTGAGACATATCCACAATACAACTATACAAGTATACACATTAGAGTATAAACAAAGCAAGCACTTTTTCCACAGCATTAAAGTAAAGAGATCCTTAAATTGTTTTGTATCCTCTGCTTGGTCAGCATGATTTTTATATGTATAGTATAATAAGAACAGTTTTTTAATGCTTAATTATGTGTATGTGGAAAAAAAGCTGGGAAATGCAAAGCCGATCAGAGCATCAGAGAATTTGACAATGCATGGTCACACAGATCTTCAGGACTGCAGGGAAGTAACCCAGATTGTTGGCCAAAGTTGCAGGCAACCTTGAGTCAAACCCAAGCCGGCCTCATGCACAGGCTCCTCATTATCATGCACAGATACTCTAGGTTTTAGTGTACAATAACACACCCTAATATTAGCTAAAGTGCCTCTAACCTTACTGTGGTCTTCTGCCATCAAGAGAACGCCAGCCTCAGGCATTTGTATGCAGATAATGCTAGTTCTCATGTGCACCACAAATCTCTTTCTTGAAAAGCGAGATGTGTAACACGTGTAGGGAGATGGTCAAAGTAAAATATGCCATGCAATACCTAATTCTTACAGGTCACAAGCAATGTATGCAGGAAGTATTAAATTTACAAGACTCTTGCCTCAAAACAAGACTTCAAATATGAAAGACCACTGAATGGGGAAGTCAGTTTAGAAGAACAAAATGGAAAATGACTCGACCAAGTTCACCCCCACAAAAAAAGGCAAAAAAAAAGGCAGGCACAATTTTAAAAAAATAAATACAACTGGTGGGAGCCAAATTGAGTAAAGCTGTAAGCCCGAGGACACAGATTACAATTATGATGAACAATAAATTAATGAAAGAGTAAGAGGCAACACTAACAGACATAGTTTTGATGAGCTCCAGATGGAATGGGAAAGATGTATTTTCACTAAGATCTGACTTCAAGGCAAGTTAGTCAGCTCATTGCAACCAACACTAAACACAACCCAAGACACTTCTCAGTTGTCATCCATCTTAGCCAGCTTGTAAACCCATGGCTCTGTGGTTTTTATTTCACCCTTATAACCTGTGGTTCATTTAGCTCTAGTCAAGCAGAACATCCCTCTCCTCTTCTCCTGGAAAAAGGCATTAAAGAAACCCGGTAAGAGCCTCAAGGATGAGTACCTTGAGACCCAGAACAAGACAAAACAAACCAAGGGAAGCTCATCCAGCCACAAATCCTAAATGACCCATTTACTACAGATGCAAACAAAAGTTTTGTCCCAGGTTGTGTAGAAATAATTTCATACTGTACCCACAAGAACAACAAAGCTACACAGTATATTTTTCAGTCCCTGCTACTGACAAGACTAGTGGAAAGGGTTCCTATAGTCAAACTCAAATGAATATTGGCAAGTCTAATTAACATAGTGTAGCACAATGAAAAAAATGATAGCTTACAGCTTTACATGTAAAGAAATTCTTCCTTACAAATATGGTGTTCCATAAAGTGTCCGCTACATAAACAAATTAGTAATGCAAATCATTTTCTCCCTACAGCATTTTCTCAACTGTAATTTTCAGCCATTCACAGATATGCAGAATCATGTACCGTCTTACCAATTTAAGCTGTCAGCTTCAAATCAGAAATAGTAAATCATGAATAGAGGCTTACAGAGGACCCCTCAGAATGTCTGAGTTAGAGGTAGTAATATTGTAGACAGTAACAACTCGCCTTCTGAAGTTCATACTTGACAGAAGAAAACAAAAAAGTGCAGAGGTGTCAAGTCTCTCCCAGTAAAACTTTCTATTTTAAAGTAAGATAGTTCAACTAAGCAGGTCCTGAGACAACATGAAAGTCACAAAAATTAAACTTGCAAAAAGAAGAAACGGCAAAATTTTAGGCAAAAACCCCACAACACCCAAAGCCAAGCTGAGGGAAAAGGGGCACTAGCCTCTTCTCGCTTTTCTGCCCTGTATTTTACAAGGTGCACAAATTGAGGAAGCAGACTGCAGAAACACAGCCCCAGCAGGAGAGCAACTGGGCTGAATACAGTGAAAAGAGGAAAAGGGTCTCCTGACTGCTGGAATAAATTAAACCAAATTATCACAAGACTCTCTTAAGCTGTACCTTCATCACTTTTGTTCCAGCAGTATCTGTCTGCGCTATATTTACAGCATAGAAGTATTCTACTCTGAGGGCTTCTGCACATGTGAATTTACACAAACACTACTGGATTCAAATTGGTTTTGTTTTTTGGTTTGTTTTGTTTGCTTGTTTGGTTTTTTTTTCCTGAAAAACTAGATAATGAGTGTTTTACCTGGAACTGATTAAAACAAAACCAAGTTATTAGAGAAACCGAAGATATGCACTCATGCTAAACACTATTTGCCCTACGGTTCATTCAAATTTAAATTCAGTGGTCTTCAACTGTGAGGGAGAAATCTTCACATGTAGACAAACTAAGAGCAAATCAGTCCTCTCCATCATCTGCTCTCTAGTATGGCATTCTTTTATAGTATACCTTTATGAGATTACTAATTTCTGAATTATTTTATCAATAAATACATAAAGAATTAAAGTTTCTTGAGATATAAGTTGCTATCCAAATTAATTCTTACTTCCATAACCTATTTCCCAGTTCTCTGTGGGGTAGGCAGGCAAACAATTGGGCATTACTCAGTAAACCCAGTAAATGTGTGAAAGTGCAGTTGTTCTCGGTTATTTATGTTCTAGGACAGGAACAATGCAATCTGGGGCAATGCAACCTGGACAAGTGCAGGAGTCACAAACAGAACAGATGGCACACAAAACTGACACGAACATCAGATTTTAGTAGGAAAGCAGGCGCACGGCTTTGTGGGAAAGATGAAGGGTAAAAAACAAAACAAAACAAAACAAAAACCTAAAAAAAGTGGGCTACTTGTAATCCAGGGAAGTTCTGTTTATTTCGTACATGCTTCCTCACCAAAATAGAGCTCATCCTCTAGAGAGCTGCGTGACTTTTTTAACTAGGAAAGAATAACGAATTAAAAAAAAAAAAAAAAGGCACACAGAAAAAAAAAAAAACCCACACCACTAAACAAACAACATAAAAAAGGGAAGACAGTTTCCCCAGCGCTGCAGAATAAGGGTGCTCCAGTTCGGCCTCCCCCGCAAAGAGCGGTCGAGAGGCTGCTACCGCTCGGCGGCTTTTTTATCCACCTCTGAACAATGGCAGCGTTTCCCCCCGCCGCCGGGAAGAAGCCGCTCTCCCCAGCCGCATCCGGGAGGGTCCCATCCTCTACGGTCGCCTCCGACCCGGGGCGGGAGAGGGATCTGGAGCCGCTCCTGCGTGGGCAACTTGAGGCGTGTGTGGGAGAGGGAAGGAGGGAGGGGAGGGCAAGCGCTCGCTGCCGGCACAGCGCGGCCTCTCCCGCGCCCTGCCCGCCGGCAGCCTCCCCTCAGCGGCGGCGGCAGCCGGGCGGCGCGGCGCTCCTCGCCCAGCCGGGCGCTCCACAGCACCCGCGGCCCGGCCCCCGCTCCCCCACCCGCGGACCCGGCGGCGGGAAAGCCCGGCGGCGGAGCCGGACGAACAATGGCGGCGGTGGCAGCGGCGCGGCCCGGCCGCCGCGCTGAGGGCCCTGCAGGCGGCGCGGCGGCCAAGGCGGGCGAGGGAAGGGGGAAAAAAAAAGAGGGGAGGGGCCGCGACCGGCCGCGCGTACCTGGTTGAATTCCTCGCCCACATCGGCGTAGATGTCGATATGGTCCACGCCGTCCGCCATGATCCCGCCCGGCCGCGCCCCGGGCCGCCGCCAGCCGCGCCCGGCTCCGCAGCCGCCGCCGGGAGGGAGGGAAGGAGGGAGCGAGCGGGCGAGGGGGAGGGGCACACGCGTCACTTCCGGGCAAGGAGGGGGCTTCCGGCAGCTGCCAAAATGGCGCCTGCCTGAGGGGAGGGTGGGCTGCTTCGTCCTGTCCCGGCTCGGCCCGGACGCCCTGAGGGCGGTGGGGCTAGAACGGCCGAGCCCAGAGCGCCCCGCCCCGCCCCGCCCCGCGGCGCCTCCCGCTTGCCCATGAGGGTCAGTGCCCGCCCGCGGGCATCGCCTCTGCCCTTGCCTGAGCGGCCATGTTAGGTCGTGGGCTGGCGGCGCTTCAGCGTGCGAGGGTGCCGCGGCGCCCGGTGCCGGCGGTGCCCGCTGCAAAAACCGGTTGTCGTGGGCTCTTTGGTCTCGGACCGTGCGAGGTCTGCTGGCTGCTTACTCGCGTTTCTCGCTTAGCCTCGCTGCCTCGGTTTGGAGGAAAAGTGCTGCCCAGCCGAGGAAAAGCACCTTGATTGCTTAATATAGCCAAGGGCTTCGATTGACATCTGTAAAATGGAGCAGAGTGGTACGTCTTGCCACAGTACGATGTGTGGAAGGGGCATGAACATGCATATGGTGTTCTGTGTTTAGCCAGACCCTGAAATACTGTGCTGTTACAGAGCTCGGTTTTAATGTCACAAAGTGAAGAAAATAAGTGTCAAATCAAGAGCTTTTTTTCAGAACTGCTAGAGTTGCAAAGACAGTTAAAGATTATTTTTGAATTAATGTGCCTATTACCCAGATCCACGTTTAAGCTCCAGGTGATTTCAAAACCAGTGAGAGTCTCCTGGAGCATAATGCACAATGTGCATAATGTACATCATAGATTATGTTTTATGTCGCACATTATGTTGCACATCCAAAAATAGAGCTGCTTTTTTAACCTTATGAGCTGACAGGAAGAAGCTTGTTTCTCAGACTGAATTAAAATAATGTAAAAACATCACTGCAAGGAAAGAAAATGCTAAGTATTCTTTTTAGCTTGACTCAAAATTTATTTTTCCGTGACTGTTTCCAGTTACGGAACACTACAGGCTTTTTAGGAAGGACAGGCAGGGAGAGGGGGTGACACCCTCTGTCAGTGACCAGCTGGAATGCATGGAGCTCTGCCTGGGGATGGACGAGGACCTGACTGAGACCTTATGGGTCAGGATTAAAGGGATGGCAAGGACAGGAGGCGTTATAGTGGGTGTCTGCTACAGGCCACACAGCCAGCAAGATCGAGCAGATGAGGTCCTCTGTAGACAGGAAGGAGCAGCCTCACATTCACAAGCCCTGATCCTCATGGAGGACTTCAGCCACCCTCATATCTGTTGGAGGGACAACACAGCAGTGCATAAGCAATCCAGGAGGTTCCGGGAATGTGTTGATGGTAACTTCCTCCTCCAAGTAGTAGAGGAACCAACAAGGAGAGATGCTATGCTGGACCTCGTTCTCACCAACAAAGAAGGGCTGGTGGGGAGTGTGAAGCTCAAGGGCAGCCTTGGCTGCAGTGACCATTAAATGATGGAGTTCAGGATCCTTAGGGCAGTGAAGAGGGCACACAGCAAACTCACTATCTTGGACTTGAGGAGAGCAGACTTTGGCCTCTTCAGGGGTCTGCTTGGCAGAGTAACATGGGATAAAGCCCTGGAGGAAAGAGGGGCCCAAGAAAGCTGGTTAGTATTCAAGGATCACCTCCTCCAAGCTCAGGAGAGATGCATCCCAACAAAGAGGAAGTCAGGTAAAAATGCCAGAAGGCCTGCATGGTTGAACAAGGAGCTCCTGGGCAAGCTCAACCAAAAAGGAAGCCTACAGCGGGTGAAAGCAAGGACAGGCTGCGAGGAATACAGAGAAACTGCCTGAGCAGCTTGGGATCAGGTTAGGAAGGCCAAAGTCCTGATACGATTAAATCTGTCCAGGAACATCCAGGGCAACAAAAAAAGCTTCTATAGGTATGTCAGTGATAAAAGGAAGACTAGGGAAAATGTGGGCCCTCTCTGGAAGGAAACGGGAGACCTTGCTACCTGGGATATGGAGAAAGCTGAAGTAGTCAATGGCTTTTTTGCTTCAGTCTTCACTGGCAAAGACTCCAGCCACACTGCCCAAGACACAGGAGGCAAAGGCAGGGACTGGGAGAATGAAGAACTAGCCACTGTAGAAGATCAGGTTTGAGGCCATCTAAGGAGCCCGAAGGTGCACAAGTCCATGGGACCTAATGATGTGCATCCACAGGTCCTGAGGGAACTGTCAGATGAAGTGGCTAAGCCACTATCCATCTGTGGCAGGTGCACCCGCCCAGTGAAATTGTGGCTCCCTGGCTGTTGAACCTTTCCTGTGCCCTTGTTCTCAGGGCTTTATGACAGTTGGGGTCTTTGGCCAATAGGGGCTGATATTGACCACAGGTCAGATTCGGCTCGGTATAAATGGAGTCCCAGGGGAAGCCGTTTTGAGCTCGTCCAGCCCGGAGCAGTGTGCTGCAGGTAAGGGCTCTCCCCTTGGGTTGGGACGCCACCCAAGGAGACTCCTTGGGGTTCCTACAGGTTGGGGCACTGCCCTGAGGTGTTCCTCGAGGTTGAGAGTCATCACCTCTTATTAGATGAGCGATTGAGCATTTTGGGTTGTCGTTAAACCCCTGGTTGGCGTTTTGGGTTGTTGTTAAACCCCAGAAGATTGTGTGGTGATAGCTTGTTCTCCTCTCACGGACATTTGGACTTGTTGTTTGTATGTTTGCAGAACGTTGATTAATTGTGTATAAAATTTTGCTTTTTTTTTATTGTTAAGTGGTTTGGGAGTTTCCTTAACACCATCATATTTGAGAAGTTATGACAGTCTGGTGAGTTCCCACCTACTGGAAAAAGGGAAACATAACCCCCATTTTTAAAAAAAGAAGAGAGAAGACCTGTCAGTCAGTCTCACCTCTCTGCCCAGCAAGATCATGGAGCAGATCTTCCTGGAAACTATGCTAGGGCAGATAGAAAATAAGGAGGTGATTGGTGACAGCCAACATGGCTTCATTAAGGGCAAATTGTGCCTGACAAATTGGGTGGCCTCCTACGATGGGTTACAGTGTTGGTGGATAAGAGAAGAGCAACTGAAGTAATCTACCTGGACTTGTGCAAAGTATTTGGTGCTGTCCTGCATGACATCCTTGTCCGTAAATTGGAGAAACATGGGTTTGATGGATGGACCACTTGGTGAATAAGGAATTGGTTGGATGATCGCACTCAAAGAGTTGCGGTCAATGGCTTGATGTCTAAGTGGAGATCAGTGACAAGTGATGTTCTTCAGGGGTCAGTATTGGGACCAGTGCTGTTTAACATCTTTGTCAGTGACATAGACAGTGGGATTGAGTGCACCCTCAGCAAGTTTGCCAACGACATCAAGTTGAGTCAACATGCTGGAGGGAAGGGATGCCATCCAGAGGGACCTTGGCAGGCTGGAGAGGTGGGCCTGTGCAAACCTCATGAAGTTCAACAAGGCCAAGTGCAAGGTCCTGCACATGGGTTGAGGCAATCCCAAGCACAAACACAGGCTGGGCAGTGAGTGGATTGAGAGCAGCCCTACGGAGAAGAACTTTGGAGTATTAGTGGATGGAAAACCATGAGCCAGCACTGTGCACTTACATCCCAGAAAGCCAACCATAAGCAGGGCTGCATCAAGAGAAGTGTGGCCAGCAAGTTGAGGGAGGGGATTCTCCCCCTGTGCTCCACTCTTGTGAGACCCCTCCTGGAGTGCTGTGTCCAGCTCTGGGACCCCCAGCATAAGAAGGACATGGACCTGCTTGATTGGGTCCAGAGGAGGCCACAAAGATGCTCAGGGGGCTGGAGCACCTCCCTTCTGAGGACAGGCTGAGTTGGGGTTGTTCAGCCTGGAGAAGAGAAGGCTCCGGGGAAACCTTATAGCGGCCTTCCAGTACTTAAAGGGGGCTACAGGAAAGATGGGGAGGGACTCTTCATCAAGGAGTTGTGCTGGGTTTGTGTGGCAGAGGGTTTTAGTAACAGGGGAGGGGCCTACAGCGGTGGCTCCTGTGAGAAGCTTCTTGAATATCCCCCAGCTCCAAGTCAAACCTGGCTCTGGCCAGGGCCGAGCCAATCAGCAACGGTGTCTGCACCTCCATGATAACATTTAAAAAGGAGAACCTGGGACGGGGTTGGGACTTGTGAGGAAGAGTTACAAGGACACCTATGTGAACACTGAGGTCAGTGGAAGACAGGAGGAGGAAGGGGCGAGGTGTGCCAGTGCAGAGCCCCCCTGTATCCCATGGTGGGATGGCAGGGCTGCCCCTCCCTGCCACCCACGGAGGTCTGCGGTGGAGCAGAGGCCGGCCTGTGGCCTGTGGAGGAGCCCACACCGGGACAGGCAGCTGCACTTAAAAGAGGCTGGGACACTGAGGGGAGAAGCGGCCCTCACTGTTGTAGTTCGGCGCTGGGAGGACTGCAGCTCACAGGGGTGACCCATGCCAGAGCAGCATGGGAATGGCTGCATCCCATGGTAAGGACTCAGGCTGGAAAAACTTTGTGGAGGACTGTCTCCTGTAAGAGGGGGACCACATGGAGCAGGGGAAGAATGCAAGGAATGCTCCCTCTGAGGAAGGAGGAAGGAGCAGTGGACTGACCATAGCTCCCATTCCCTGCCCCTGAACCGCTGAGGGGGAGAAGGTCGAGAGATCGGAAAACTGAGCCTAGTGTTTGAAATAAAGTGATGTTCTTTTTTTTTCTTCCCCTAAGGAGTTGTCTGTCTTTTGGCCATAACCATAATGGGTGAGGCACCTCTCCCTGTCCTTATCTCAATTCCCAAGGCTTTCGCTTTATTTTCTCCTTCCCATTCCTGAGGGGGAAGGGGTGAATGAACTGAACGTCATTGTGGTGCTCATTTTCCCTCTGGGCTCAAACCAGGACAGGAGTGTAGGGATAGGAGGAGGAGAAACGGTTTTAATCTGAAAGAGGGTAGATTTACATTAGATATACGGAAGAAATTCTTTACTTTGAGGGTGGTGAGGCATTGGAACAGGTTGCCCAGAGATGCTGTGGCTGCCCCCTCCCTGGAAGGGCTCAAGGCCAGGCTGGACAGGGTTTGAGCAACGTGATCTAGTGGAAGGTGTTCCTGCCCAGGGCAGGGGGCTTGGAACTAGATGGTATTTAAGGTCCCTTCCCACCCAAACCATTCTACGATTCTATGACTGGGAGTACTTCCCAGTTCCCAGATCAGCATTTGTGTCCCAAACTGTCCTAACTTCATGTTGGATCCAGGACCTGGATACAGACCATCCCTGTCTACCTTGCTGCCACCACGCTGTAGTCTCCATTGGAAGAAAAGATGAACAGACCAGAAAAGAGTTGAAAAATCAAAGAAACACAGCAAGGGATATGCTGTGGAGCACATCTGCCAACAGTCCAGCTATACCTCAGACATGGAGATCTTGGGCATTATTCCTGGAGTTTTTACTTATCCAGCTTGTGGCACATTAAAATTTACCAGCTGCAGACCTCATATTGTTCCTGGTGTTAATAATTCTGGAAGCCAGAAACCCTGTAATTGAGTTTGTTTTCAACTCTATTGGAGTTTCCTGGTTAGAGGAACTAGCAGATGCCTTACCCTTCGAAAAAGTTCAGAGTATCACCTGAAAAAAACATTTTAGATATGATAGTTAGAAGCAAACAAACAAAAAGCCTTAATTGAACTTCTAGTGTTTGTTACAATTGTGATTGATAATACTGTGTTTGATAACAGGTTGAAAGTACAAGTTCATGTCTATGAATGCACAACCCACATGTGAATTGAATGATTCACTGGTTTTGCAAGGAAGATTCACCTCTGTATTTGCCACAGTGCCTACAGGTACTGTTAAAGTATTGAGATCTGAGTTCACATATTTGCTTAATGATGAACTGATTTAGTGACTAGTCTTCTACAGAACAAAATGAAGTACTGTGACACTTAATATTTCTGGCTTCACAGAACAAAGTTACTGAAGACAAGAAAACTTAGCCCTTGCCATCCTAGTGATCTGACAAAAATTCACAGGAGAATTCACAAGTTGCATGCAGATGAATGTTTTATATGCATCTGAATATCGAATAAAGTTATGCATAGATTGTAATGATGTTTAAAAGGGCAAGGAAATTAAGTATGAATGAGAAAGTCATTACAGTCACCTCAGAAACCACCTCAGGGATTGTCACTAGCATTTGAAGGACCTTGCTGAGGGTCTTTGAAGAGGAAAAGACATCACCTCTTCTTTGCTCTTTAAGATAATGAAGGGTGATCAATGAAGCCCTTGGACCCCCCTCCTCAGTGCTGAGTTTCATGCTCAGGAGGCTCTTCCACTTTGGAGGATTTCTAAATAGTTTGACTTGCTAGATTTAATGCCCACAAGCATTTACAGGATAGGCCATGATCATTTTTATTCCTGTATATATATCATTAAGCAAATTCTGTAAACTGTAGGAGATTAAGTATTATGCAGGCTGTTCTATTTAGTCTGCTGTGTTTTCATTCTTTTCATGAGTAGACTTACTAAATATGTCTTCATATTTCTTGTGGTCAGCCATAGCTTCTTTATGAATTATTACCTTTCCATGGAGCAACTTCAGAGTTCATCCACTCCAGTGAAAATGTTAATGCTTCGTGTTTTGTAGACATCAAAACTATTTAGACCTTCGCCTGGTAAAATTCAGAAGGCTGAGGTGGAGGTTGGGCTGAAACACAAATATGTTTATGAGAAAAAAAGTTATCGGTGGTACAGCTTGGTCTGGGAGAAGAGTCCTGGTAAGGTCTGTTTGGGACAGCAAGAGCAACAGGTTTCAAAGTAATTGTACACCTTCCAAACTCATATACCACCATGAGAACAAGTAGTGGCTGATGAACTGGTGTTTTCCATCAGTTCCTCTTGCACACCATGGAATATTCTTTCATCTGACAGCAACAGCTGCAGCTCCCTTGATCCCAAAAGCAGGAGGAAAAAGGGACACTGGCAGCTCTACATAAGAAAGTGGCCTATATGTTAAGTCCCTGTTTCTCATGGATCCACAAGAGCCTATTTATTTGTATATTGTTCCTTTGGTCTCTTGAGCAATAAGGATGGAAATTCAAGTATAACCCTCATTTTGAGCATAAAAGCAGCAGATGGTGCTCTGAGAACCTTATGATGCATGTCATGTTAGCCCACAAGACCTCTCCATGCTTTCCTCTTCCAGGCCTTTTGGGGCCTTTTCTACTAGGATGTTACTACTGAGAAACAAAGGGGAGGAGAATGCTTTTACCACCCATATGTATTGTGTATGGTTACTTCAAAATACCTTTAAATGTATTACTTCCAGGTAAGAGTGGCAGAACCAGTTTCAGTATAATAACGTTTGTAAAAGTAATCTATTTTTGCTAACATCAACAAAAATATAACTTTATATTAAAATAATAAACTTATGTTAGAAATTTCCCTGAGGAATCGAGACTGAGAATGGTACAGGAATTTTCAAATTGACTTGGTATTTTAATATCATGCATTAATGTTATAGAAAACAAAGTGAAAAGATAAGAAGTAAGATAAGAAAAAAATGCTGTGTTAATCAGGATAATACTCAAAATTAGAAGAGTCTTCAGCTTAGTTGAGATCTGCAATGTATGTTTTGTTGTATAAAGACCTAGCTATTTTAGTCTAAGTGCACTGAATATGTTTTCTTTCTTTAGTTGTGGTCCTGAAGTTTCTGATCTTTCCCAAGCTGCCTGAAGCCACTGTGCATGTTTTTTATTGCTTTTCTCCCAGTAAAATAATCCAAATGGTAAAAGTCTGTACAGTCTAAACTGTAAGAAATTGTCTTTTCCACTGAAATGCCTCAGTTTATAAAACTGCTCAGACAACAACCAAGAAAAAATGCTGTGTTCTAAATTAAGTGGCAAATAGGCACAAATCCTTGACCACGTACTTGCTTTCAAAGGCCAAAATTTCAAGTTTTATTAACTTTAATGTAACAGCAGGCTGACAGGGAAAGGGACAGTCATGTTCCCATTCCCAGACAAAGGTGGCAACAGCCTGTGCTGGGAAAGGGAGAATATTACTTCATCTTTTGGTTGCAGCTCACTGTTAGGTTGGATTAAGTGTAACATGAAACTGCATCCAAAGGGCATGTACAAGACCTCCTACTGACACAGCGATTGTAGGGAAATAGCTGGTATTATTCATCTCTTGTCCAGAGTTATCTTTTTGTAGGTATTCATTTGTTCTGGGCTCATACATGGGAGCACAGTGTTCCATCATTTTTTTCCCACCTATGGCTGCCCATCAGTCTGCTCATTCTCTTGGTTCAGCTATTCACTCTGATTCAGAGCCATGTTGAAAATTACGGGTAATAAGGAGATGATTTACAAATGGCATGGATATCCCAACCCTCAAGGCAGGAATGTAAGTAATATGCATGAGGTGATAATAAATTCAGTTGCCCTGTTTGAATCCACTTCTAGATGAGCTGCTAATCAGAAGGCTCAGTTACCTCCAGCAAAAGTATTAAATTGAATTTCCAGCTTTAAATCACATACTATTTTTTTGATAGTTTCACTTTCCTTTTGTTTAAAAACCTTCAGAATTTAATTTCTACCCTTAAGAATGACACTAATCTATTTTTTGCAATACCTTTCTGCAGTTAATCTCCTCTTCTAAGTTGACTGAAATCTCTTAAATGTGTTAAGTGCATTAAACATATCTTTCCTTCTCTGGATGGGCTATATGCCTATACAAACAAAGGAACAGCACTATCAAGATCACTTTCAGATGGTTTTGATTTTTCAAAGAATTTAAACTCTGGGATAACTTAGTTGCATAGGTTTCTGTTAATTTTCTTTTTCCTTTTTAACTTCTGTTTACTTTTGGTATCAGGAGTCAGTCTGAATTTGAAAAAAATCTTCACTGCTCACTCATGTATTGCACACGCCTTAGCATATTGAGCCTAGGCTGATACGACACTGTTCTCCAGGCTTCCTCTCTTTCAAGTTCAGCTTTTTAGAGGTACAGTTTCAGACAATAGAAGCCTCCTCCATAACATTCAGGTTTGTTTTGTTGAAACTTGTACACTTCCAGATTTCAGGAGTGGCAATATCTATCATTACTGTGTTATAAATAAGCAGAATTAGTCTGGAACCAATGTATCTTATTCAAACGGCACGCCGTCCTGTCTCACACTAGTCCTCCTCTGCCTCTACGCAGCTCTGCTGAGCGATGTCCACGTGAGCGGCTGGCGATGGTCAGAGGAGAGGTGCCCATGCTGATGGCCTCCGGGAGCTCATTGCTCCTGCTGCTGGGATGGTGTTTTGTGTGGTGTGGCAAGTCCCAACTCCTACTCCAGTGCTGGGGTCGCAGCAGAGGGGTTGGGTGTACCCGTTTGTACCGCCGAGATTTTGAGGAGTGGCAGCACTGGGGTACGGCGGGCAGGTGCAGCGGGGTGGGCAGCAGCAGGCACCCTTGCAGAAGTGCAATGGGGAACAGGGATCGCTCTCATCTGCAGCTCTGCGGGGGTCCGACCTGCCTGCAGACACATGGGAGGGGAATGGCACTTCAGAGTTTTTCTTTCCAGCATGCCCTGAATGTGCCCAAGGGGCGAGGCTGCACAGGTACCCCAGGGGTTTGGTCAAGGATATTGCAGAATAAATCATTGCTCTAAGTCCCATGGCAGTTTCTTGCTGCCCTGCAATTCAGGGTGGAGGGGACTTGCCCCAGAGGAGGAGCCGTCAACCGCTGCCCGTACCATAAATCACAATTATGCTTGCACTGATTGCAGTTGTTACAGGACAAAGGTTTAGATTTAAAGACAGCGAAGGGAAGCAAATAAATGGAATATGAACTGATGGAAGCTGTGTGCGCTGGCGAGCTGACACCACCAGACTGACTGACAGAATACTTGTAATGCAGCAAATCTGTGTTTTTCAAGGCCATTCTCAAGAAATGCTACAGCACTGTTTTCATGTGTCTAAATAGGACATGCTTTTGCTGTTAGCAGCTTAGTGACAGAAAAGTATTTCTTATTCTCAACAAGGTTATTTCTTTAGGAATTTTAAGGGTATTTTAGGAATAAATAATATTCATATGTAATAATTAACTTCTGGTGTGTAAGGTCTCATTCTGAATCAGTTTTAGCCCAACTTCATTTTGTGTTACAGAAAATACACAAAGTGCTCATAACTATCTTGCATTTTCCCAACCCTTTAAATATGAGTTTATTATGTAGTTTGCAAATATTATAATATACTCATTAGCTCTCTCTCTATAAGTTAGATAGGTATATCATGATATTTATTTTAATGAAAGGAGACATTTGGGCTCAAATTTCTACCTACTGAATTTGTGAGAAACTGGAATCTTGAGTGCCAGCCACAGCAGTATTATTTGAAGTCAGTAAAGGCTGATGGAACTTAGTACCTTTATGCATTTGAGCTACTCAGAATGAGTGGGCATTTTTAAAAACATTAATTTTCTCTCTGCAGGTATGAGATCATAAAATAACATCACTAAAGCAGAAAAAAAAAAAAATCACAAATATTGGAAGAACACCTCAATGAATGAAAACAATCACAAAAATCACATAATTTGACTAATTTAAAATCCAAGCAAGTAAATACAAACTCCTGTTTTGTGTCTGTAACCCATCTGAGATGACTGAAGATGAGCAAACTTGGAGAATAAATGAGAATCTGTATTAGATTCATTAGAAGGGAGATATCATCCTAAAATTAAACTGATACTTTATTGTAACAGAATGGGAAAGGAAAAGTATCTACAACTGTAATTTTGTTTCATGTGTGTGTCTTCATTCATTTTGATTGGTTGGTTTTTAACTAGAAATAAATACTTTTGCTATGAACTGAGCACATATATATGAGGTGCAATGGAGAATTTCACAGACAAAAATAATAAGTTTGTATTCATGTTTAAGGTAGAAGTTATGTTTCTGTCAGACATTTTGCATTGAAATTAAAATTAGACATGAAAGAAAAAGAAAAAAAGAAAGAAAAGCAAGAGAAATCAGAAAAGCAGGATCAGAAAATGTGAAGTTTGTCAGACAGATATAAAATGGCTCTAATATCTGTTTCTATGGCTACTAAAAATAATTGGCTCTGAAGATAAACTCGGTATTTTTTTTCAGCAGGAACATTAACGTTGCTGTCTAATGACACACACTCCAAATTATATTCTCTGCCCCAGACTTCAGTATGTAAAAATTCAGTATTACCATCATATAATTTCACACAGATGACCTGCAACAACTTCTAAGGACAGGGAATAATCCCTGAGAGAATCTCAGCTCCTCTTCCCCGAGCAGTAAACCAGAGCCCTGATCCATCCCTTTTCTCAACTAAAGCCCACCAGTGCTCACTCATCTTTTACATATGCCAGAGTCAACTCAGCAGGTTTTAACTCTGTGGAATTACATTCCCTTTCATTAAGATCAGCTTATTACACATCATTGCTATGAGATTCATGATGTCCTTTCAAGAGCAGTTGAAGATCTCCAGGCACTGCCACTGGGGGAAGGGGAGCTGCCCTTCTGCAACCATTCCTCCTGCCTGCACCTCCCCTCTGTGCCTGGGCAGGTTCACGGTACAGTTCACTCCAGGATCCCTCTGACTGGGCAGGATAGATGAGACTTTGCTAATTCTGGGTCCCTCTGTCCTATAAGGTCCCCCAGATTTACTCCTTGCTTGTCAACCCCTTCCCTTCACAGACCGTGCAGCACATACCCACTGCTTCATGCAATAAAAACTCTCTCCTGGTAAGCTGCAACACAGCCATCCCATTCTTTCAGAATCTTTGAACTGAAAAAAAGCAGACAAAGGAGTAATTATGTCTTTGGGCCACAACGGCACTATATGTGATCTGTAGAAGACCAAGGGCCAGGTGTTTTGTGGAGAGGAGGAAGCCATTCTCCAGAGGTGACCAGCCATAAAGAGAGTAGCTGCAAGTCCCTCTGCACCACTTGGCACTCTCTTAATTAGCAATAAATTCAAACTCATGTAGACCATGGTGAACTGGGTCAATGCGGTGGCCTGGCTCAAAATTACCATGATAAAAAGAGTAAAGCTGACATGAGGCCATACGAGCCTTTGTGTGAGCAGCTGGGAGTGGCGGGGGCCATGCACGCAACGGTTGGGGAAGGGCAGGGCAGGGCGACCTCTTTCAGTGGCAATTCTAGTTTATGCCAGTTCCAAACAACTGTGAAACTATGGCCTTGCTTAACACCTTAGCTTGACTTTTAGTTAAAGGTTTTTTTTTTTTTTTCCAGAAGTTCTGGTGCCATACCAAATGAAAAATAGCCATTTTTTTCAGCTATGAGTGCTATAAATGCGTTGAACAAAGGACTTTCAGAGAAGAGTGCCTTCAAGAAGTAAAGCATTTTCACACAGCCTTACTAAAATGCCCAGTGTCAAACTCAACCTGCTGATACAGAATTAAATCCTTAGAAAGCCCCATATGTTACACAACTAACTTGCACCAGTCTTTATGTGAGATGACCTCTCAGCGAGCTACATTATCATGTGTTCCTTTAAGGTTTGTTTTCCACTGCTCAATAAAAATTCCAACAGGAGAATCATTCACAATCCAGCAAAAAGGAGAAGGGCATACAATGCAGTTCACTGGAGAGACAGAATTACCCAGCTGTAAATCTCCGCTGTCTTTGCAGTGCAGCCATTAGCTGCAAAATGGTCTGAGGAATCAGCAGAAAGGGCAGGCTGGTTTCAAAAAGTAGGTAGCAAAAAGAACAGAGCCCCTTCAGTCTAAGACACAAAGCAGTATAGCCTTGAATTTGATGTTCAGTGGTGCAACCAAGTGCCTTTTAGATGTGAATCCTCCTGACTTCACCTGGAAGTTGATGCAGAGGTTTTGAGAAAGATACTAGATGTTATTTGGTTGCAGGTTTGTTAAATTAGTGGAAGTTGCCTGGAGTATGAACAGAAATCATAGACGACAGTGCTCACTTCCTCTTCATAGTGAAAATTTCTTTCTTTGCATTTAGAAAACTAAAGCCTGACACAGAAGGAGTGCTAGCACCTTTTTCTTTATTTGCATCAATGTAGAGGGTCTCTGGAACATAATTACTTTTGGTCTAATAAGCGTGTAGAAAAATTAGATGTTTTTTAGTCATTGACTACTCTGCAGGGCTGTCTAGACTACAGCTGCACGATGAACACATGGGCTGCAAAACTGTGGGCTGTGTGTCAACTGTATCTGTCCTAAGAGCTGATTATGTCCCAGTTGTGATACCAATGTGCCAGAAGGCTCTCTGGAGGCTACTCGGTATCTGTCTCCACATTGCTTGAATCAAGGGAACCATCTCTAACTAGTAACTGTCCCTGTAGCGTGTTGCAGTTGTCTACAAAAAGGCAAGTTTTTCAGCCCCAGTTCTGTCTTTGAGATCTCAATGTCATTGTCCTGTAATACTTTACATATACTCATCACACTGGAGCACTGGGGGAGGGTGTGTATGGAAATGTGCAACTTTGCATCCTCGCTGTAGCAGTTGGGCACAAGATTAAACTCTATGGCATCTTTTGGGGGAGGGAGGGGATTAAGGTTAGCAGAGTGTGCATTTAATAGACCAGAGTATGGAAAAAATCCCTCTTGAGCAGAATGGTTCATCTCGTGGGGTATCCTCTTCAGCAGCTGCACTCTCAGAAGTTTCAAAATAAACTGCGAAAACTCCAGATCTGGCAGGTGTAGTAAAACCCAACAACAGGAAAATTTCCTTATAAGTTTAGTATTTAAAGACTGGCTTTTTTTGGCCATCCTGAACTCTGAAGTAAGTTATACACTCTCAAAAAGTCTTCACTGTCATTTGTGTGTCTGTCTGGTTTCCTAACAGTGCTTTATAACAATGTTGTAACTCTGGATGTCCCTTCTATTTATATTCATATGTGATACTATTTTGAGTGCTTCTAAATTCATAGCTTGATTTGATTACAGCTAGAGTGGAAAATAATTGAAAAATAAGCTCAGGACAGGGAAATTTTATAGTATATCTGGACTATCTACTCCAGTAGATGGCGCTGTAATTTAAGTCAAGTGAGCAAGTCAGATGAACTGGGATTGTACAAACCTCTAAATAATGGGATTCTTTGTGCAATTTTAAAGAGCATTCCAACAAAGTAAGTAAGGATCAGACCTTTGGCATGCATCTGTGTTGTGGCCAAATTCCAGTTTTAGATTTTTCAGGTCAAGTGGTTTCCTTAGGAAAACTATGAATCATGCATTTGCATAATAGTTTTTCCATCTGCTTGCATTTCTTCACTGAGAGACTTATTTTTGTTCCTTTTAATATTTCACTTGAAAACACATACATCTTGTTTTGTTTATTAAATTCTGTGAAAATCTTTGGATTGCTATCAGCAACATACAACATAATGATCTAATCTTTCTAACTAGTTATTACTAACCTAAACAATAACGTCTTGCTATAAATTGGGAGGGTTATATCCTGGATTGATACTGCACATACTTGATATTTGCACATTAACTTGATCTATCTGAGCTAGAAAGTATATCTGACCTGATACCCATAATACTGGAGCACCCCAAAATGATTTACTGCTTGTGGTCACATAATATCTCAGGAGGTAGGATAGCAATGTTATTCATATTTCCAAATAGAAAATCAAAGAACAGGTAGACCAAATAGCTGTACCTCATTCACATAGGGACTGTGTTAGAATGGAGACTTGCATTATATATGGAATATATCTATATCCCAGATACATATAGAGCGCATTTTTGTTCTGTGTATCCCATTTGAAGAAAATAGTTCACATTCCTCTACGCTGGTATTTCGGTTGTTCTGGTATTTTGCAGAATGAAGGCTTCGTCTGAAGTGAAGCTTGCTGCTAAACCCTACCTTGGAAAAGACCCTAAATACTGGATATCTGAAATAAAGATGGCTGCTTTACACAAACCTAAGGCATTTGTAGCTATTACTAGACCTCTTTCCTATTACTAAATTTCTTACCAGTGTATTGAAAAAATCACAGAGCTGTAAATAAATTAATTTTATGACTTGATAATATATTTAAAAGATAAGCTGAATCTCTCCAAGAAGTAGAGAAATACATAATTCCAGAAGAAAACGTAAGAGATTTAAACCTTCCCATGATGCATCGTTTTATTGTCCAGTGTATCTTGAAATACAGCTGTGGCAGCTACTGCATTCCATCAGGGTCATCACTTTCTTCAAGATAATTTTAGATATGTATGGACCTTTTTTTCATCAGGAATACACAGCCAAAATAAAACCAGATCTTGAGGTCTAAGGTTTTTTGTTAGTGTTCAAGAAGTGCAGAAAGCACTCTGATATTTTTTTATTTTAATTCATTGGCATCTATATGACTGTGTTCATCAGACCAATTATGCTGCTGGTAGTACTTATAATGCAAGGACATATTTTTCTAGTATAAAAAAAAAAAGAATTTAAAGACAACAAGAGCTAAATCTGAAAGTCAGGGATAACAGGATATTGCTGCCTTAGAAATATGAGTTTGGTAAAGAGCTCACAAAGCCTTTCCAAAAGCTAAATCTTCTCTGATTTAAATTTGCACTAGGGTACACTAGATTGCCAGAATAAAAGCAGAGAGCACTTTTCTGTGAACAAGGAAAATCCTCAGAATTATTATTCATAATGTACATTTTTCATAAGATTGATTTTTTTCTTACTTACCTTGATACATAAGCAACCATGTAGGAAACCTCAAATGAACAACCATTCAAGACATAATTTGAAACAGTAAATAAATGGGCCTGGATAAGACAAATAATTGAAACATTAGAAGAGTGAATCTAAATAAGTGCAAACTACAGGCACATTTTTTATTCCAAAAAGAGCAGTTGCCAAGGTCTATTTTAAAATAAAAATTGAGAATGTAAATTTTGAAGGAAATCATATCCACTGTGAAATACAGAAGAGAGAATTCATCTTTAGTTTCACAAGTGTCTTCTTTCTATGAAACCTGTCTTAAAAATGAACCTAATGAGGGTTTTCATATACTTCATGTTTAAGGTCTTTGTATAATTACTGGAAATAAGCTTATAAGTGAGATTCCCTGAGCTAACCTGCAGAGGAGCCTCATTCCATTAACAAGGGGCTCCTGAACTAGATGCCTTAATTCCAACAATGTGAGTGTCCTTCTCAGACTTTTATAATTTTATAATTTATTTCACTGAAACATTACATACTATTCTAACTTGCTTATTGGATGTTACAATTACATCATTAAACTACAAATATGAAATAAAAGGGTCAGAATCCTTAGATCCAGGGTACTGCTTTAAGGAATGTGTCTCTGAAAAGTTTATAGTTTCATGTAAGCCATTTATATATATAAGTGAAAGAATAATCTTGAAAATATGTTCTAATAATAGTGGTTGTATTAATTTTATAGGCAGAATGATTATTTTCATCTGCTTGTAACAGATTTACAAATTAAAACAAGTTCACCATGGAGGTACCCAACCTACTGTCTGATGTTGCTTTGCCAGAATTATCTAAAGTCCCTTATTTCTTCCACAGGTACCATGAGGTTATAAAAATACTTTAAAAAAATTATTCACTACCAACTCCATACCAGTAGACAGTGTAACCACCCTGCTTTTCACCCCCTGAACAATCTGGGATGACTCAGACTCACAACTTTACTTTTGGGAAGAATCATTTTAGCACACTTATATCACCTTTTTTTTTTGAACACATTATTTTCACGTATCTTTTCTAACCTCTCAAAACTTGCACTGCAGTTTGTTTCTTAAAAAAGAAGCTCAAGTAGACAGTGTCTATCCCTGGTCTTCACTTGCTTCTTTTCCAGTTCTTCAGCTTTCTCATCATCTGGGGCTGGAAAAGTTTAGTCCTTTATACTTCTTTTACAGGGATGTAACACCTATGCAAAACTGGTATTAAATTGAGGCCCTATGATTTAAAATGTTGGCTAAATACCTGAATTTTTGTACTGAGCTGCTATACACTGACTCATTTTTAACATGACAATAGGTGAAATTTTCAACTTACATGATCAGGGAAATGTAGCACAGAGATCAAAATGCAAATGTTTATACTTCCTATTAAGGAAAGCAAACACATTTTCTAATACAGTCAAATGAGTTTCTTTATCTAGAATTACTTTTTTTCAAAAAGAAAAGTAAAAGTAATAACAAATGTGTTATATTGCATTTAGCACACTTATCAAAAACGGTAAGTTTATCATAATTCTTTGATTTCACATATTACCTGATACATGACTGTATTGACCATGACTGACATGAAAGTTACTGACATTTTTTCATTTTCTTTAATTTTTAAGAGAAATTCAACATTTGAGTCCTCAGTATATCACTCTTTTCTTGTAGACATGTTGATATTGCACCTGTTGTGGTGAATTTAAAGCCATAAGTCAAATGAAGCACACTCACTTAACAGAAAAGCTTAAGGACCATACAAGAGCAGAGGGAAGACTTCAGTGTGACACTTGCATTTAGAGACATCAGTAACAGGCAATCACATGGTTTCTCGTGTTTGTAATTCTTAGTGCCATGCCAAAGGGATCAGAGTTGTCAACTGATTTTTTTTTTCCCAACTTTAAAAGCATCTCCCAAATCCTCAGCGAACTCTTTAGCCTTAATTGAAAATGCCTCATTGTGTGTGTTTTCTGAAAGGAGGAAAAATGTCAAAATATTTATCTTGGAGACAAATTATTGGACAAATGGTGCCCTGTAGATAATTTGTTGGGACAACAGAATACTTGGTTGGAAAAAGGGAGCGATTATATATAAAGGATTTATGACTTACACGGTTCTCTGGACTGGAGTCAAATCTCCCTGTAAATGAACTCTTTTTCTGGTTCTGCCTCATATCGTGTCATTTTAATGCCTACGGTGATGGAGATGGGGAGAACATCAGGGAGAAATATTCTGAAGAAAGAGCAGATATTTCTCTTTGCTTTCAGACATTTTAGTTAATGCTTTTCTACCTTATAAGAATAAGTGAGAGCTTTTAATTATTAGTAGAATCTCAAAATAGGCTAAGCATGGAGTAAGCAGATAGAAAATCTGAAAAGAAACTGTAAATTAATACAATTGTTCTGGTGATTTAGCAGCAGCATTTCTAAGTCATACAAACCTCAGGAAGCAAAAGGGCTTCTTGCTGAGATGACAGACACAAATGGTTGATTAAATCTAGCAGAGGAATAACAGGGCCACTTTTGTAGGAGGTAGGCGATACCTCTCCCAGTTACAGCAGAGTGCTTGAGTTTCTTAAAAGAGCTTTTGTTATATTCCTGCTCACATGGGGAATGCTTAATGTGGATAACGTCTCTAATCACTATGCAATCTGAAAGTTTATTTTTTCTGGAAAGGTCACTGCAAGAGCTCTTGAGGGAGAGTATGAAAAGGGTGTGAACTCTGAGAACTTGTAAACTGAGGGGGGAGAAAAATCCTGTCCTTGTTGGGCCATGTAAAGGAACAAAATGAGGAAGGAAGATGAACCAGAGAACAGAGGGGAATACAGAAAAAATGTCACAAGCAGCATGAAATGTCTTCTGTAAGAGAATCAGTGGGAGTTTTATGCTATCGGTGTCTAAAACTGGCAACAGATGACTCTCAGCACACCAATGAACACTATTTAACTGAGGAAAGATATCACCAGATGTTGTTTCTTTCCTCTTGCATTCATCATTATTTTGTCTGTTCTGATTTCTTTCTCTCTGGTTTATATCCTCTACTTTTACCCTTTTGTGTGTGAACAGCTACACCTCTAAAAGCATCCTTAGTCTTATGTAGTGTGAACTTGCAGTCATGGTAACTGGAAAGACTGAAATATTTTCCCTGTGCATTTCAAGGGGGAAAAAAGAAAACCTTAATGTGTATTTTTAAACATATTCTGTAAAAATATTTACACTTTATGCATTATTAGTTTGAATAATTAAAATTATCACAAACACTGTAACTTCAAGGAAAACAGAACAATGTATTGATTTATTTCACTGGCTTATACAGCCAGGACTTAAAATGTAGCAGTGTGAAGATTATCTAATATTTGATAGCAGAAGTCTCAAACCCACTGAAAAAAAAAAAAAAATTAGAATCTCAGGATAGCGTGATAACTGAGGCTGGAAGGGATGTCAGGAAGTCTGCAGCTCTGTCTCTTGCTCTAAGCAGCAACAGCCATGAGACCAGACCAGGTTACTCAGGACTTTTTCCAGTCAAATCTTGAAAGTCTCCAAGGAAGGAGACTATGGAGTATCTCTGTAAAGCCTGTTCCAGTGTTTGACTCCCCTCAATGTGAAAAATGTGTGTGCATATACTGGTGTATGCCAGTGAGACAATATTGTTCTTCAGGAAGATATACAGGTCAGAAGCATACAAGGGCTTCATGTCAATACTTCAAAATATTCATACTAGGATTCCTGAATTATGTTTTTTAACTGTGCTGTATGAGTGTAAGTATATGTATTTATGGAAGGCTGAAGAAAATATAGAGGACTGAAGATTAAACAGAGAGCCTCAGTGGCTAATACCAGGCTAGAATTTGTACATTCAGGTGAGTATTTTATGATATGTAATACAAGAAACATCTGTGGCTCCAGCCAGCTCCTTGTGAAAAGGAGTTCTGATTACAAAGCTGCCATAGCAGTATATACTAATCTATATACTTAATGGAAATTTCATGGAAATTTCAGGAAGAGGAGAACACTGAGCAGTTCTCACCCTCGGGATCTGGGAAGTGATGTGAATCACAACCCTTCAAAACCCCAGAGACAGAACCTAATGTTTCATGAGATTAGTTTAAAAATAGGGGGGTTAAAAATAGTAAATGTTCTTTTTGTTGGTATGCTGGTTTTAAATCCATATAGTTCACATTTTCTGGCTACACAGTCTATTGAAAAATTCAGCTACTTAAAAGCTAACAAACAGCAACTGAGGTCACTGCATAATACAGTGAAACTATAAGCTTGGCTTTATACTGATGAATGGGGCCTTTACACTGCAAAAGGGCCTTGGTAAGAGTAAGACCCAGGAGCTTTAGTCCAGCCAGATACCTTCTACAGCAGGATGATAATTAAACCCACAAAACCTAGAGCATGAGTTTCTGCTTTTTATTAACAGAAATCTCAGCTCAAGAGAGAAGGAAGCTGAGGCTTTCTTCTGAAATGCTGAACTCCTGATCCTGCTCTATAGATCATCCCTCTTTCCTAAGTCAGGTAGAAGGGCCAGCATGAGAAGACAGATGGGTCTGACGTTGACTGTCTTCTGCATGCTGCCCTGCTCGCCCTAAGAGCTCACCTGACATCAGCGCGGTGTGGTACACCTGTATTTCTGACTTACCATCCTCTACTCTGTCCTTGCAATGCCCTTTGCACCGTGACTTGGTAGGGTTACTGGAAGACAGTCCTATAGATGTTTTCCTTAGCGCCTGCCCATGATCCAGAAACCATCTCATTAGGACTCTTCCAAAATATTTCTCTTTTTTTTTCAGGACATAAAGACTTTAGGGTGCCAGTGAAAATCTTGTGACAAACCAAGTCCTAACATCCTTCCTCAGATATTATTTAAATTTTACTCAGTCAAAACTCCCATTGACTTCACTAAGTCTTTTGAGATTTGGCCCTATCACATTAGCACATTGCAATCAGCTATAAAAGCAACATCAGAACTGAATCCCAGAAAGTAACATCAGAGTAACATACATTATTTCCATCCAAGTAGAAAGATCATCCGGGATTTTCTTTTCTAGCCAAATCTAAAACTAAACACATTACTCATCCCTGCACAGGTCTGTTTGCTTTCCAAGACAAAACTCACTAGAAAAACAGGAAATAATAAGATTGTGATATATAAAACTAGGTTGCTCTGCTCTGTTAATTTGTCAAAGCCACAAAATGTGTTTTCCATTAGCTTTCAAGTACAGGGTGAAATGTTTAGTGCATTTGTCTACCCATCAATCCATCCATCCATGCACCCATCCATGCATCTTATTTTTCCCGAACAGAGCAGAAGTTCAGCTATATTTCTTAGACTCTTTTGTTTAGAGAAAGCAACTGACATCAGAATTTAGGTTGCGTTTTGCTCTTACTGATAAAGCTATTCCTGTGAAATGGGAGTGAAACAGAGTCAAGAATCTCATGCTTAAAAATGCGGTTCTGCTGGAGTCAGTCTCAGTGGTTCAGGGGGCACAGTCCTTCCTAAACTCCTACCTAAGGGCAGCTAAAAGCAAAGGAAAGTCGTTGGAAAACCTCATCCATTTCCAAGTGCACTGCATTACTCCCTACAGAGCAGTGTTCACCCTTCATTTCCACACTCCTTAACTTTCATTCTCTCACCAACCCTCCATGTGATAACAAACCCCTATAGCTCTTTATTTTCTGACCATGTTTTCAGAACTGAATGAAGTGATTTGGTGACTGGTGATTTCTGAAAGACTCTTAGAGGCATCATGAGAGTATGTATACTGCATTTAAGCCTTGGAAACGCTCGTGAATTTGACAGCCTATGCTGAAAATGAAACTCCAAAAATTTAACATAGCTTGGTATTTTTGTAAACTTCAGAAATGTATAGATTTGGGAAATGATCATCACCCAGCCTCAGTACACCTAAACACTCAAATTTTTAACAATTAATTTTACTAGAAATACATGTGGTTTTTTTCACTAGCACAATATTCATTGTGCTTGTAATGACTATATGTGAGAAATCAGAAAGACCTATTTACTTGTAAATATATTAATCCTAAATATAGATCCCAGGCAACTCTAGTACAAGTTTTAATTTACTAAACCTTTGGATAATACTAAACCTTGTTAAAGCGTAAAATTTTTACTGATAATGCTGTTATAGTAGCATCTGAATAGACAAGCAGATGTATTTAAGATAACTTTAGTATGACTTGAACACATACACAGTAATTTTTAAAGAAAAGTAATCATATCCATGTGCTACCTTTGTTCAAGTGCATATCTTGTCCTGTACTGAACTTGCTCAGATAGGTAAGCCTTCACTGGCGATGTAGGTCTCTATGTCTGTAATCTGATGCAGTATTCTTTGGACATCACAGTTTTCAGGGATTAAATTGTAAGAATCTTCTGTGAAATTAAGACGGGGTCAGGCAATTAAATGGCGAATGCTAAACTAGTGGTCAAATGGTTTATCAGTTTAATGAAATTATTCCTATAAATCCTTGTCTTCTTCCTGCATTCCCTCCAAAGTTCATATTTTATGACAGAAAAGTGGAATTGCAACACCAATATGTATGAATGACAGGGTCAAACACAAATCTTTGCACCCTTTGTCAGCTTCCCAAATCCACAAAAATACATATTCAGTTTTGTGGATTAGTGTTTACAGTAGACAAAGAAGAGATAGGAATTACAGCTAAAATACAAATTGGGTGATTGCTGCTGGCAGTCCTTATAAAACCAAGTGAATTCTGGGAATGCTGAATGTATCTTTAAACAAATGTCTTGAACATTTTGAACATTCAATAGAAAATACAGATATGAAGTCACTGAAATAATATATTAGCATTTTATCCCCTACAAAAGGTGATTTTTAAAAATTCAGAACCTATTTTACTACATTGTAATATACTAAATATTAATATATTAAGTAGGTATTTAAATCATTATGCCAAATTTCTTACTAGCATGTACAACCCTAGATGCCAATAAGCACATTCTACATATACCCTAACCATGTAATCACTGTTACTAGTATTGCTCATTTTTGAATAATAGTTGAAAAGCAAGCCCAAACTTTGCCGCTAAATGCCATACACAAAGAGTGTCCAAAAATTCTTAAGCAATTCCACAATTCTTTATAGAAGATATGCAAGATAGAACCCAGAAACAAAGCTGAAATATGTCCCAAATTGCATCTAATTTCTGTGGCAGGAACATATCCTTTCAGTGGTAATTGAGATAGGTGCAAATGTGCTATTGTACTTTGGCCTGGATTTTTCAAACCTGAAACATCATATATTGATGATCTCATCTATTCTTAAGGCTGAAAGACCAGATCATGGAAGAACTTTGTTACCCATAGTGGACCATGAACACCAGCACCTTTCAGAGCAGTGCTCAGATACGACCTCAGTTTGGAGGCATCTAAAATCCTGGGCTTTTCAAATGTCCTGAAGGTTCAGCCTCTGTACATGTGCAGAAGCACTTCAGTTTCGACAGGGCTCAGCAAA